TTGTAAGTCTACAACTGTACCTCATGGTGTTTCACTAATAAATTTTTTTTAAAAAATGGACCAAATAGGGAAGATGGGGTGGAGGGTGGGAGATCTACTGGGATAATTGGTGGTGGAAAATGGGCACTGGTGAAGGGATGGGTACTCGATCATTGTATAACTGAAAACTAAGCACGAAAGTTTGTAAGTCTACAACTGTACCTCATGGTATTTCACTAATTAAAACAAATGGACCAAATATTTGAATACATATTTCTCCTTAATAGGGATATACAAATAACAAATAAGTACCACAAAAAGATGTTCAGCATCGTTTATCATTAAGGAAGCGCAAATGAAAATCATAGTAAAATTCCATTTCTATTCACTACAATGGGTATAATTTGTAAAAATATTGACAATAACAAGTGAGATTATGGAGAAAATGGAATCTTTCAGCATTACTCATGGGAATATAAAATGATACTGCCACTTAGGAAAAATAATCTGACAGTTTCTCAAAAATGTTAGACACACGTTGCCTTGAAAGCAAAAATTCTAGTCCTATTTTTCACTCCAGGGAAATGAAACAGGCAGAAAAACCTTATATGTGAATGTCATAGCAACAATTTTCACCATATACAAAAAGTAAAGCAACTCAAATATTCATCCACTAATGCATAGTTTTTAAAATGCTTTAAATAGCCATACAATATATATTAGCTGTTAAAGAGGAATGAAGTTGGGCCCATTTAAATGGTGGAGGAGGTCAGGTGTAGGGGCTGGTGGGTCTAAGAGGAGGGAGGGGAATCTGGAAGTTGCTATTTCAGAAAGACCAGAGCTTCATGGCACTCCTGAAGCTGCAAATACAGTTGTAGGACACGCCCTCTGAATCTCTCAGTACAGTAGAAGCACAGAAAATTTGGTTTTTTTTTTTTTTTGCACAGTAGAAGCACAGAAAAATTGGGGTTTTTTAAAACATTTAAATTTAGTGAATCCCTATGAGACACAGAATTGTTCATGGTTGAGTTTTGGTTGTATAATGTTCACGCACCCATCTCTTTACCAGCGTTCACTTCCTTCCACAAATGTCCGCAGTTTCCCTCACACCAACCTTCAGCCTGTCCCTGTGGCAGAAACTTTTCCTTTTCCTTTCCTCTTAGGCACTGTGGTTTGCCATATAATTACTGAAAGGGTATCTTGCATCTCCTTTTATCTCCTTTCAGAACCCAGCTCTTGTCTGGAGTGAACATTTCCCATTGTCATAGTGATTCTCTGACCTAACTGCCCATCCCGAAGGGACAAGTCCTCCTAACCTTTGTTTCTATTGCCTTTGGTATTATTCTACTGGGTTGGAGCGATAGCACAGCTGGTAAGGCATTTGCCTTGCACGCAGCCTACCTGGCCGACCCAGGTTCTATTCCTCTGCCCCTCTCGGAGAGCCCGGAAAACTACCGAGGGTATCTCGCCCGCACGGCAAAGCCTGGCAAGCTCCCCGTGACGTACTCGATATGCCAAAAACACAGTAACAAGTGTAACAATGGAGATGTTACTGGGTCCTCTTGAGAAAATTGATGAACAACTGGAGGACAGTGAGAGTGATTATTCTACTAGTATGCTTCTTTATATCCTGCAAATGAGTGTGATCATTCTATACTTCTCCCTCTGATTCATGTCACTCAGCATGATACTCTCCATGTCTACCCATGTATTAGCAAATTTTATGACTTCAATTTTTTTTCCGTAACAATGAACAGTGTTCTATTGTCTGGACATACCACAGCTTCTTTATCAACTGTCTGTTCTTGGGCACTTAAGTTATTTCCAGATGTTGGTTATTGTGAATAGTGCTGTAGTGAACACAAGAGTGCAGATGCTTTTTTCTGCATTGTATTATTGGGTCCTCAGGGTAAATTCCCAGAAGCAGAATTGCTGCTTTATATGGAAATTCAATTCCTAGTTTCTTGAGAAGTGTCCGTATTGTTTTCCAAAAAGGAGGACCAGTCTTCATTCCCAACAGCAATGAATGAGAATCCTTTTCCCCTTCAACCTCTTCTCCTCACCACGCATGCCAAAACTGGTTGTTTTTGATGAATGCCAGTCTCTTTGGTTAGAGATGATATGTCACTGTTCTTTTCATTTTCAATTTCCTGATGATTTGTGATATAGAGAATTTTTCCATGTGCCTTTTGGCCATTTGAATTTCTTCTCTGAGGAAGTTTTGTTCATCATTTCTCTCCATTTTTGATAGGATTAGATGTATTTTTCTTGTAAATTTCTGCTAGAAAGAACATGGACTTTAATGGGAAAGTTGTGTAGAAGCTCACCAAACTCAATTAGTGAAAACAGTAACACTGAAAGCTCAGCCAGCACCAATCAACTCAGTAAATCCTCTGACAATGACTTTAGGTACACCATTGTGAGATATAGCAATCAATCACAGAAATTAACTCTTGTTGGTCTATTTCATGATCATTCATTTGCCATTTTGTTGTAGTTAGCCATATAAAGTAGATTTGTTATGTGCCCTGAAGGTAGGAGAGAGACTGGGGACATCGGTAGAAGGAAGTTTCACAGTGGTGGTGCTATTGTATTGAAACATTGTATGCCTGAATACTGTATTATGAATAACTTTGCAAACAATATTATAATAAATTTTTAAAAAGAAACAAAGCGCTGATACATGTCACTAACTAGACTAGGGTTTCTCAATATTTTTTTGTTCGAATGCAGTGTTTATTTATTTATTTATTTTTTATTGAATCACTGTGAGCTACAGTTACAAAACTTTTATGTTTGAATTTCAGTCACCAGTGTACATTTTTCACCATAAATGCCTCCATTATCTCACAAACTGGCAGGCTACTGAATGTAGCCTGCCCACACGGCAGAGTCTGGCAAACTCCCTGTGGCGTACCCAATATGCCAAATACCAGTAACAATGATGGGTCTCATTCTCCTAAAAAGCCTTGAATATAATCTCAGGGCTAAGATGAAAGAGACATTACTGGGGCCTGCTAGAGGCAATCGACGAATAACAGGATGATTTGTGATTTGTGATCTCACCCTCACCGCCCCCCATCCTACCCCTCCCCCTCCTCTATGACAGAAAATTTCCCTTTTACTTTCTCTCTACTTATGGGTATTATGGTTTGCAATACAGTGCCTAAGAGGAATAATACCCAAGTGTTGCTTTCAAATAATGAAAGGCCATCATGTTTGGTCTTTTATCTACTTTCAGCACACATCTCCCATTCCGAGCGATTCCTCCAACCATCATTGACATCATTTTTCACTTGCAAACTATTTCCATTGGAGAAATTTTACACAATCATAGTTATATAAAATAAGTATAAAATAAAATACTTCCTGGTAACAAATTTTAAGGCAATCTATTTTGAAATGACCCTAACTTTATAGGACCATGATGCACAGTTTAATAAGCTAGGAAATTGACAACTTTGAAAACATGTTAAATAAAAGAACTCAGATGCACAGAAAAGCCACATATTCTATAATTCCCTTCTTGTTCCTATTCCAGTATAGTCAAATGCATAGAAGAGAGAACTTGGGAGAAGAAAACAGTGGGTTGTACATGCTAATGGGACTTCTTTGGGCATCATGAAAATGCTCTAGAATTAGTGATAATGGATGCAAGTCTTGTAAATATATCCAAACACACTTAATTGTATATTTTAAAGGGGTGGTTTTTTTTGGAGGTAGACTTCTAACTCAAGGAGACCAGTGGCTACTCGTGGTGGTAACCAGCTGTGCGGGACCTAACAGTTCAGTGGGTGATTCCTCAAGCAGTACTGGAGACCCTCATCTGAAGGTGCAGTGTTGGATATAGAGCTCAGCGCCTGTGCCCCATAAAGGAATAAGTTGTATAGTGTATGTATCTTAGCTCAAAACTCATGAATATATTGAATCTATGGTACATTAGAATTTGATAAATATATATTTAAAAGTCATGGTTGACGTGTTTTAGTCACTAACCACTGAGGACCCTCTGTAAAACCCTTAGCAAAATATTACTTTTACTAAGGTTTTGCTAAATGATCCATGGGTTCTCTTCCAAGTGATGCTTTCAAAGAAACTGCCTCTCAAGGCAATTTCAGAAGAACTTCTGGAGAAGTTAACTCTAAAATAAAATCATCCTTCGAGCCTTTGGTATTTCGTTAAAGGCAGTTCTAATTTTGAATACTTATTATCTTATCCAGCTTTATTTTTATAAATAAAATGGTTTTATCTATAAAACATATAAAATTGTAGTTTTTATTGAATTGTCTTTTCTATAAAATTGGAGTTTTGTTGAATTGCCATTTTCTATGAAGGCATCTGATCAGTTGTGACCTATGTGAAGAGCATGTTGAAGGTAAAGTAATGTGTAAAACTGAAGACAACCATATATCAGAGAATAGTTTTCATAGAGTTTAATAAAGAAAGAAACATGGGTAGCTGTTGGCTTTTTTATTGGAGTCACGTTATGAACATAAGCATTTCTCTTTACTGGAAAAATTTTTAAAGATAAAAATAGCAACTGCATAGATTTTGTGAGAACACAGATTTTGTATAAGGCTTAGACTTATAGCACAGTGACTGAGGTTGTAACAATCACCTTTCTGAGTTAGGATCCTGGTTTAATTACTTCCCAAGCCTCTCTGTCCATATTCCCTTAGCTTGCCGCATAGTCATGATTTCCTTAGCCTGCCGTAAGACTATTGTGGGGATTAAGTAAGATGATATTTGTAAGACATTGAGAAAAGCAACTAAGCCATAGAAAGGGCTCAGCAAATATTAGCATTATCAATTTGCAGCAGATATTCCAGATGTTAGTTGAATATTTCAAACACACTTTGAATGGTCTGCTAGATACCTGTTTGTAGTGTATTATGCTCAAACCCAGCTTGCTCACCAGTGATTTCTGTGTGCACAATGAGAATGTTCTTATTGTCTAATTTCATTTATAGGATAAAGGTAATTTTTTTGTAGAATAAAAATAAGAAAACTTCAGGAACAAAATGAAGATCCTTATCATCACATTTATCCTAATCCTTTGGACTGAAACACTGGCACATCAGAGCCCAGGTACCATTATGTTTTGTCTATTATTATTAGAAAAACGTTTTATATTTCAACACATGTTTATTTTGATATCTGGAGAAAAAAATATTGGGTGAAAGTAAATCATATTAGTTGTAGTTTGGAGGCATAGGATATCAAACAAAAGTAATCTCTTAAATATGACCAGAGGTAAAAGTCAGCCCTTGACCAAATGCATCTCAACACTGAGAATGGAGGTGGCTGTACCAGCAGATGTTGATACTGCCTCCACTTGCCCACACTCTCCCCATTAGGCTTGCATCCTCCACTCCTCTTGCTGCTGTAGGGGTTGCCTGCACCAGACAGGCAACCCTATACCATATTCTCAGGACCAACGTTCTAGACCAGAGTTTCCCCAACTGTTCTGGCCTACAGCCCCTGTTTCAGACCAAAGAATATATATATTCAGTGTGTCCCAGGAAGCAAACAGAAAGAACAACCCAAATGCACCAGAGGTTATTGCCACATCATCCCACCTCCAGGTTGTCTTAGTGCCACCCCTGCAGGGGACGGTATTGCCCTCTTCAGAAAGATTGCTCTCAGTTTTCCTGGAGGCCCTTGGTAAGATGTTATATTTTAACCTTCTGATCCTTCTGTTCTGTTTCTGGGATGGTCTGTAGCCAGTAATTTACTAATAGGGGGCTTTAGAAGGACCTGAAAGAAGGTCACTCACATGATACAGAATCCCTGAAGCCTCCAAGACTAACCATCCTTCTGAGTGCAGTTCACTCACTCGTCATCATCTCCTGGGCTCTGAGCACTCCTAACACAGAGAACTGTGGCCTCAGTACTGTTTCTAACAGTTGCTAATAGGCCAGAGACCAATTGGGGATGAGTTTTCCTTACTCTTTTTCTTTGCTCTTGAGTGCTTTAACAGAACTTAGTGTTCTATAACTAATTCAGTTACTTTTCTCTTTCAACTCCAAACTCTGCTTTGGAGTTGAGAGAGAAAACTCAGTTGTGTAACTTGACTTGCTTGACTTTTTTTTGCTTTTTGGGTCACACCTGGCAATGCACAGGGGTTACTCCTGGCTCTGCACTCAGGAGTTACTCCTGGCTGTGCTCAGGGGACCATATGGGATTCTGGGAATCGAACCCGGGTCAGCCGCGTGCAAGACAAATGCCCTACCCGCTGTGCTATCTCTCCAGCTCCCTGCTTGACATTTTAGGCAAAGACAAGAACAGTTTATCCCTTTCATAGGGGACTTGTGATACTAAGTTACTCTTCACACTAGGACATAGTGTCCAAAGATCACCATGGTCCTACATGTGAAATTTCTATGACCAACTTGTTTTTGGCTTGTCATTTTGTTTTGCTAGAACCGGGTCCTGAGTATGCAGATGTTGTGTTTCTGGTGGACAGCTCTGATGAGCTGGGAACCAAGTATTTTCCTTTTGTGAGAACCTTCATCACCAGGATGATCAACAGTATGCCCATAGAGACCAACAAGTACCGTGTGGCCCTGGCCCAGTACAGTGACATGCTGAAAGAAAATTTCAAACTGAGCAAATTCAAGAGCAGGAACCCCATGTTGAACTACCTCAAGAAGAACTTCGAGTTCCTTGGTGGCTCCCTGCGGATAGGAAATGCTCTTCGAGAAGTTCACAGGACCTATTTCTCCGAGTCCACAAATGGCAGGGATAAGAAGGAGTTTCCCCCAATTTTGGTGGTCCTGGCTTCAGGCGAGTCCCAGGATGATTTAGAAGTGGCTTCCCAGGCCCTACAGAAAGATGGGGTGAGGATCATCTCTGTGGGCATGCAGAAGGCATCTGAGGAGGAACTGAGAGCCATGGCCACAGGTTCTTTTCACTACAAACTTCGGACAGTCAGAGACCTCAGCACGTTTTCCAGGAACATGACACAGATTATCAGGGATGCAACTAGGTATAAAGAAGATACAACCAAGGATGACCAAATAGGTGAGGAATCTCTGATTTGAGAAGGCACCTGTCACATTACCCCCTCCCCACCTCCCACCCCCCACCCTGGCCCTGTTAATGGATTCTTCTCTCTCCCTCTCTTGCAACTACAATCTGGTTTCCATGGTCATCCTTGCTGAACTGTTTTAACTATCCAGACTGTGTACTTGCTCTTACCCTCTTCTGCCTTTTCAAGTGACATTTTCTGGCAGGAAGTTTCCTGTGTTCCTTTGTCTTCTTACAGCTTAACCAACTGCTGCCCTTGCTTTGGTCCCAGCCTCCAGCAGCACCCTCTCAGAAGACTCTCCTTTCATATCCCCTCTTGGGCCTTATGGTTCTTCGTTCTTTGTGTACACTTGATGCATACCTCCCACAGTGCAATTATCCATTTCTGATCGCTCCCTCCCCCCATGAACTGGGGGCACAGTGTAGGAGAAATTGGTCATCTTACAGCTACATCTGTGTCCTGTGGGCTTATACAAACTGAGATGGGGTTCTAATGGGAAGGGCTAGCATCATGTAGAGAGGAAACCAGATTCTGTGTCTTCTCCTTCCTGTACTTTCTTGGTGTGTGTGTGTGGGGGGGGTGGACACACACATTTTCAGTGGAGATCTGCAGGTTCACCTATAGCATCATCACAGGAGATAATGACCTTAGAATGAAAGAAGTGGGGTAGAGCAATATCATGGAGACTGTTCTCCTGAATCCACAAGTTTGGTTTGGACTCCTCTGCTTCTTCACCAAGGGTTTTCCTTCATGTAAAAACTGATTCAAAGACAGAGAGAGAGTACAGGGATTAAGGCACTTGCTTTGCAGACAGCAGACTCTAAGTTGCTCCTCAGAACTATATATGACGCCCTGGCACCACCAGAGGTTGCTCTATATTGAAGGGAGACTCCAATTGTGTTCCCAGGAGCTGGGAGAATAGAGTATCTAACATAGTAGATTGTTCTGTGGCAATTCACAAGTGTAGGATGTGGATTAAGAAGATGCTTGAGTTCAAAGACCCAAGAAAGCCACTTGGTGTGGTAGAGATTGGACTCAACTAAAGGTTCAGGATAGTAATACAAGACTACTATCTGCCTCCGTGAACTTGGCAGAGTGGTGTTCTCTCTGCACCTTATGTTCATTTATAAAGATCTGGTAGTTGGGTTGGACTTCAATTCCATGGCTCTAGTTATGGTTATAACACCTTAGTCTTGCCAGAGCCAGCTTTTAATAAAATAGACTTTCCAGATAACAAGTTTATTTATTTATCTTTTAACATATTACAGCCAATGCTTAGAATGACAGTTGTCTTCTCTACCTTGAGTACCTAAGCTCTTTCATTTCCATATAATTGTTAAACCATGAACAAAAGCTTATGTATTAGAATAGAGGCAGAACAACATTGGAAGATAAAGCAAAACAGAAAAACGCTATCGACGTTCCAAAGAAAAATTATTTCCAACACAGAATACACTGCCAACTTTCAATTAGATATGATATGAGAATTGAATAAAGTCCTAAAAGACATTTCAAAAAAAAGATGAGATGACTTCTAAGGTATCCTGAGAATTGGTACATTAGCTGCTGATAGAGCAAGTACACAACGTTACTCACAGGAGGGCTTTATGGGTTAATCTTTGAAAAGAAACAAATGACTTCTACCCTCCACATTTCATTGGCCAAATATTAGACTCTAACTGCACATGAGGCTGGGAAATATGATTTAGTTCTTGGCCTCAGAAGAGGAAATGGGTCTTGGTGAAGGATCTAGAAGACAACCACAGTACTCTTGCCCCTGAGGCATCAGTAAGACCCCCCCCCCCCACTTCATTCTTACCATTTCTCTCCTTCTATGCTTTGGGGGAAAGGATATGCTTGTATGTAGTATATGTGCCATTCTTTCCCTGGAAGAAGCTTGCCTGGGACCCTCAACTTGGGGACCTTGAAGAGATCTTCCAACCAACCCTATCTCAGCCTGAGTTCTCTAGGACAATATGAAGAGGCCTCTGTGAGTTTATCCTGCATCTCTTTGCCTTCTAATTTCCTCCAAAGCTGTGCAGTATAACTATGGGTTGTGCTTGATAGTTCCCTATCCTCCCATTTATAGGGTGAAAGTGAAGGCTTTGAAGTCAGAAAGCTCTGAGTTCAAAGCTTACTTATTTTTTTTTATCTCCAACCCTCAGTCTCCTCACCTATATAGTGAGTATCATCGTATTTACCACAAGAAATGGGTGTGATAATTTGTAGAGCATTTGGCACAGATTTTGTAAGTCATAGCTATTTACAAATATTAACCCAAAATGATCATCCTAAAAGGATTTTTAGCCACTTTGTGAAGTAATTTTCCATTATTTAAGTACTGCAAGTCTAACACTAAGCACCAGTAGGTACTGATGCCATAGAGTTAAGTAAGAAATGCCTTCTGGATGCTGCAGCTCAGAGTGCTAACGACTGTGACTTGGCCAGAGGGAGTTACCTCTTGGTGACAGTTTCCACAGTTGTGGCGGCTCCCCTTGTGCCTGGAGTAGGTGTTTTATGTACATAGAGCATACCCACTCTTCCCTGGATTCCAGGTCATGCAACCACCTGCTTCTACATCACCTTCCCAAGCTTAGAGTCTCTGAAATTCAGTCCCTAAATCTTTGTTGTAACTCGTTCTTCCAACTATTTTTTCTGCCTTGGAAAAAGATACCACTAAATAGCCACTCAGTTACTTAGCCAAGTCTTCTATTGCTTCCTCTTGGTATCTCTGTTTACACACATGTTGCTGTGTTCTACACCTACTTCATTTTTGAAGGATTTGGGCCACATATGACTGTCTCAGGGCTTTTTACTGGTTCTGTGTAAGGGATAACTTCAGGAAGTACTTAGAGGTCCACATATAAGGCAGATGCTTTAATTCCTGTACCATTTCTCCAACTCCACACTTAATCCTTGTGTCAGCATAATTTTTTGTTATTCCATCATATATTCTGTTCTCTTGTCCAAGAACTATCTTATCCTTCTTGGATTTAGGCTATTGTTTCTTAATTGATATCCATACATTCATAGCTTCTACTTTACAATTGGGATAGTATTTTTAATAGAAACCACACCAAAAGAGCTCAGGGGAATTATAGCTACTCCCAATGATGCTGTGCCAGAGTGTGTGGATTTGACAGTTTAGCACTCCCACCCTTGGTGCTGCTCATGCCTGTCTGTACTTGGGACCAAAAAATCTATCCCAGTAATGCTTTGGGGTCAGCAGAAGCACACCTGGTAGTTCTCTGGGGCCAAATTGTGCTATTGTTTGAATTCAGGGTCTTTCACATATGAGGTATGTATGTGCTCTGACATCTGAGATAACTCTCCAGTTCCTATGTTTAAAACATTCAAATGAGATCATTGAACCTCCATGGACTTGCTTACCTTTGACTTCATCCATCATTACTGTCATCACTCACCCATTTCTTCTGGACATCTTGCTTGTATTATTTCTTCATTCACATCTCAGATAGGGCTTCCTTCATTTTTTGGTCTCACTGGTTAGTCTCCAACCCACATATACAGCACAGTCCCTCAGTCAAGCTGCCAAATTTTATTTCCTAAGTGAAAGAACGCCATCTAGTTAAATGTCTTCCCCACAGAACATGAGCTCTCTGAGACCAGAGATATTCCTACTCCTGCTCTTTCTTCCCTGACCCCAGCATTTGAGAGTGGTGGTGGTGGTGGACATGGAGGTGGTGGTGGTAGAGGTGGAAGTGATTGAGGTAGTGGTGATGGTTGTTGGTGGTGACAATACCTGTAAGTGGAATTGGTAACGGTGGTAGTAGTAGAGGCAGTGACTGTGGTCATGAGATCATGGTAGGAAACATGCTCCCAGCACTTTCAGATAGTGAAGACAAAAGTTAAAGCTTTGAACTCAGTGGCCTCATAAGTTTTGTTTTGCCACGATACTCCCTTTATATTTGCAAATTTCTTTTACCAATGTGTAAAGTTCATTTTTTCTGGGATAGCTATTTGTGATAATCATCCTACTTTTTCTCTCTCCATAGTTCCCTTGTCTGTAGTTTGTCAAAGAGATTCACTTGCTGACATTGTGTTCCTGGTGGATGCATCAGTTGGGTCCATGCAAAATTTAAGGCACCTGCAGAACTTCCTGAGGAACATTGCTACTTCCCTGGATGTGAGTAACAACTGTGTCCGGCTAGGACTGATGAGTTACAGCAACAGAGCCGAGATTGATTCTTTTCTAAAGTCAAGCACATCCAAGTCTGAATTTCTGCAGCAAATTCAGAAGCTTTCTATCCGGGCTGGAAGATCCAATGCTGGGACTGCTGTTGAGAAGATGAGTCTAGAAGCCTTCTCAGAGTCCAGCGGTAGCAGAAGGAAACAGGGCGTGCCTCAGCTGGCAGTCCTGATCACTCACAGACCCTCAGACGAGAGTGTGCGGGAGGCGGCACTGAATCTTCGGCTGAAGGGCATCTCTGTGTTCGCTCTGGGCATCCAGGGGGCTAACAACACCCAGTTGGAAGAGATAGCATCATACCCGCCAGAAGAGACGGTGTCCAAATTGCAGTCCTATGCAGATTTGGAAAGTTACAGCAAGAAATTCCTGAAAAAGATCCAGAATAAAATATGGTTCCAGATTTCTGCTCGTGCTGAACACAGGGATATTGAGAAAACTGGTATGTTTAAAAATTTTGTTTTACATTATAAAAATAATAATTACTTGAATAGTTGCTGAGGTCTGGGCAGGAGCAAGGACTTAATGTAATTGGATAAGGGAATATTTAGGAATTACAAAAGTGTTTCAAAACTAGATTTTATCAAACTTTATATGCTTACTAAAAAATCACTGAATAATTGCAATGAATTATTCTTCGTATGTCAATTGCATATCAATACAATGTAAAATATATTTAACTATAAAATAGTTTAGTATTGGTGAGCATATAGTAAAGATCATCTGTAATCCTATTTATTTCTGTCTGATTGTCTCACTGATTGCCTTTTAGCCTCTTCTCTCTTTCCATACCCATGTGCTCAGACACATAAACATTCTTTAAAAAATGGCAAAACAGGAGCATGTGGTTCACCCAGATTTGATCCCCAGCATCCCATACAGTCCCTTAATCCTGACAGAAAGGGATCTTTGAGTATAGAGTCAGGAGTAAGCCCTGAGAACGGCTGTGTATGGCATACAGCATTTCTTATTATATTCCACATCACATCTAATTGTAAAAATGGAAGCTAGAATATGCTCTGGCGCCTCCTTCCTGAGGGGCTGCTTGGCCTGGGTGCTGGGGTGGGAGGTGGGGAGAAGCTGGGCCCTGGGGGGTCGGGCAGGGCTGCCCTGACCCTGCTTCCGCCACCTCCTGCTCTCCCGTAATCTTCTGTCACATCTTTTTTTTTTCAGGTGCATAAAACCCTTGTGATCTTTATAATATTTATGTTAGACTTTCTAGAAAGCTCTTTGGTCTGGAGCAATAGGACAGCGGGTAGGGTATTTGCCTTGCACATGACCGACCTGGGTTCGATTCCTCCACCCTTCTCAGAGAGCCCGGCAAGCTACTGAGAGTATCTAGCCTGCACAGCAGAGTCTGGCAAGCTCCCCGTGGCGTATTCAATATGCCAAACACAGTAACAAGTCTCACAATGGAGATGTTACTGGGCCCACTCGAGCAAATCGATGAACAATGGGAGGACAGTAACAGGACAGTGACAGTGGGGAAGTAAAGTATCTAAGCTAGAACTTGGATTTCAGTTAGTGTATAAGAGGGAGAAGATGGATATTGGGGAAACTAGCATTACCCACATTATTATCAACTTTATCGTTTTTTCCATTTATCAAGTATTCTTTTGCAACATTCTTTTTAGGATGGAAATAATGGTCCATCTGGAAGATCCATACGATATAATGGATATTAGGATCTAGCCAAGTCTTTTGCAGATGACTTATTTTTCCCAAACCCAAATTTTTGTGCACACTTGAAGACTAATTCATTATTCAAGATACAAGAGTCAATGTGAAAATAAGTAAAACCATTTTATTCAAATACTGGTAGCCTGAAAAGGTGATAGTCTTCTTGTCACTCCAGATCCATCTTACTCTCAGATACAGACTAGGAGTTTAAATAGGATTGGCTGGGAAAGTAAGTTAGAAGACCAGAAGACGTTTATGGTGGTGAACAGGGAAAGGGGAATCCCTTCTATAGGCAGTCTGGGCTAGCAACAGGGATTAATGAATCCTTGGGGTGAAGGTATGCTCCTTGTAAAACTTTGAGATTATTTGGTTAAGCAACCAAATAATCTTCAGAGTCTGTATGATAATGTTCACAAGTCTTTCCAGAAGATCTTATATTTGCTCTTCCCCCACACCCACCAGGTCAGTATGTACCTGGACCTGATGTAACACATACAATGCATGAGAGAATCTTTGAGAATTGATAGACAGGGTAAAACTAAAAAAGAATGAGCGACCATAAGAAGCACATACTTGAGAGCAAGATGGGGTCTCTAACACTTGCGCACATATTACATTTCCCCTAATGCTTTGTTTATCTCAGAATTTACTTATCAGGGTCAACCATATTGCTAGTATTTAAAAATTATTAGTAACTAATTCCCTTTTGGTTGAAGTAGCATATCAAACTATAAATTATCTGTAGCTATAAAATGTATAAATTGCATTAATGACCTGAATTTTAAAAGTATGCCCTCTTCTCTACCTAATTTTAATAAATAGATTATTAAGATAGTGAAAGCATTTTTTTCATACAGTATGCTTAACAAAGAGAAAACCATTGAGGGCTCCTTTATTAACAACAACAAAAAAATCTATTGAAATCTTTAAGGTATGGAGCCAAGTGGCCAGAAGTGGAGGAGGCCATCCGGTGATAGGAGGTGGCATCTTATGGCAGGAAACAGGCTCTCCTCATGGGCACATGAGTAAGATAATTTTAAGAAGTAATGGTTGGCATAAAGAAAATAGACAGGAAGAGATACAGATTCTAGGGATTGTAAACTTAGTACCTGGTACAGGTTTCTCTGCTTGTGCCCGGGTAATTCTGACAACACCACCCCCATGAAGTCTTCTATAATCTGGGGATTCTGGATAAGAGAAAATGATTTAAAAGATGGTAATGGGATAGATGATGACTGACATGCCATTAGTGGAGGTGAAAAGAAAGTCCTTTAAAAGTATTGACATTTGAGTTTCCAGATCCAAGAGAAAATGAGAAGAAATTGGTTGTGAGTATTTAGAGGGAGAACCCTCCAGAGCAAGTGCACAATCAAGAGACACATTCATAATACAGAGAAAAACATCAGGCAGAGGGAACGTAGTGAGCAAGGTGAAGGGGTGGTCCGTGTAGTATCAGAGAGGAAAACAGGTGGAGGCATGAAACAAAACCAGTCCAAGCGTTTGCCTTGCACACAGCCAGCATGGCCGATTTGAGTTCAATTCCTCCGCCCCTCTCGGAGAGCCCGGCAAGCTACCGAGAGTATCTCGCCGCTCGGCAGAGCCTGGCAAGCTCCCCGTGACGTATTCGATATGCCAGACACAGTAACAACAAAGTCTCCAATGGAGACGTTACTGGGCCCGCTCGAGCAAATCGATGATCAACGGGAGGGCCTTTACTTTACTTTACTTTACTTTTACTCTAAATTCAATGACAGGTTATTTAAGTAGAAGCCTACTGTGTCTGCTTCTAGATTTTTAATTTTTTTTTTATTTTATTGAATCACTGTGAGGTACAGTTATAAAGCTTTCATGTTTGAGTTTCAGTCATATAATGATCGAATACCCATCCTTCCACCAGTGTACATTTTCCACCATCAATGTCCTCAGTATCCTCCCATCTGAACCCTCTCCCTGCCTCTATGGCAGACAATTTCCCCCCCTTCCACTCTCTACTTTTTTTTATTAGTGAGACATCATGTGGTACAGTTGTAGACTTACAAATTTTTGTGTTTAGGTTTCAATTATACAATGATCAAATACCCATCCCTCCACCAGTGCCCATTTCCCACCACCACGGATCCCAGTATCCCTCCCACCCCCCATACCCCATCCCACCCCCTGCCTCTGTGGCAGGGCATTCACTTTTGTTCTCTCTCTCTTATTGGGTGTTGTAGTTTGCAAAAGAGGCAGTAGGTGACAATCATTTTTGTTCTGTAGTCTACTTTCAGCATGCTTCTCCCATCCTGGGAGAATCCTCCCAACACCTTTATTTGGTGTTCCCTTCTCTATCTGAGCTCCCTTTTCCCCTAGCATGTGTGGTTGGCCTCCAAGCCATGGAGTAAAATCCTGGTACTAATCTCGGCCATTCTTGGGTCTTAGTCTCCTATTTTGTTACTTTATGTTCCCCAGATGAATGCAATCTTTCTATGTCTATCCCTTTCCTTCTGAGCCATTTCGCTTAACATAATACTTTCCATGTATTACCACTTGTATGTAATTTTCATGTTTTCATCTTTTCTAACAGCTACATAGTACTCCATTGTGTAAATGTACCAAAGTATCTTTAACCAGTCATCTGTTCTCGGGCACTCAGATTTTTTTCCAGATTCTGGCTATTGTAAAGACTGCTGCAATGAACAAACAATTGCAGATGTCACTTCGACTATACATTTTTGCCTTTCTGGGATATATTCCCAGGCCCACTCTCTACTTTGGGGCATTATGGTTTGCAATACAGATAATTAGAGGTTATCACACTTGGTCCTTTGTCTCTTTATCTACTTCCATCACACATCTCCCATCTCAAATGACCCCTCCAGTCATCATTGTCTTAGTGATCCCTTCTGTATTCCAGCTGCCTTCTTCCCCATTTCATGAGACAGACTTCCAACTATGGGGCAATATTCCTGTCCCTTGTCTACTTTCCTTGGTGTCTTCTCATATTATGTTATTTTATATTCCACAAATGATTCTTCTCATTGCTCTGGGAATAAGGGGTTATTGGGCATATTTGTCATCTACCTCAACCCATTTCTTGTGAAGCAACAAAAAAATGCTTTATCAACATTTGCCTTTTATCAAGGCAAGAGTTGTCACTAGAAAAGAGATTCTATTTTCATTGTGGGATCTTCAGGTTCTGTTTCATGTTTTTTGATTATCTGCAGGTATGTCTTTGAAAACACCCCCACACCGGGCCAGATCTGTTTAAATTTCCTTAGAAGTCTGTGAATTTCAAGGGAGAAAATGGTCACAGCTATGCTCTTTAAAGTGGGCAGACTTATACAAACTTATACAAGATCCCGCTAGAGAAAGAGCACACCTCAGTTTCCTTTCTCAATGTTCTTGCTAAGTTCTTTACCTATCCTAATGAATGCAGAATGTGCTTTTCACTTTCTTTTAATTTTTTTCAGGGTGTATGGATACAAAAGAGGCCGATATCTATTTCCTCATTGATGGCTCATCCAGTATCCAGAGTACACACTTTCAGCAAATCAAGATATTTATGTCAGACATGATAAAAATGTTCACCATTGGCCCAGACAAAGTTCGAGTTGGAGTTGTACAGTATTCACACAAGACTGAGGAGGAATTTGTTATTGGTGACTATTCCACTGAAGTGGATTTACAAAAAGCTGTTTATAACATCAGGCAGCTAAAAGGCAGGCCTACTACTGGGGCAGCACTGAATTTTATGCTGGAAAAAATAAGGAAGGGAAGGACACAGAGGTCAATCCAGGTTCCTCAATACCTTATTGTGCTAACCAGTGGGAAGTCCACAGACAGCGTCCTAGAGCCTGCTAAGAACCTAAGAGCTGAGCACATCACTGTTCATGCAATTGGCATTGGGAATGCCCAGAAAACACAACTACAGCAGATTGCTGGGAGAGAAGAAAAGGTTCACTTTGGGCAGAATGTTGATTCTTTACAACGCATAAAAAATGAAATTGTGTATAGAATCTGTGCTGAAAAAGGTAAGGAAACCAACAAAGATTGTATTTCACACTTTGCTAGTTGCTCTGGCAGACAGAGCCATGCTGAGATCAGGAGTGATGAGACCCGTTGGCTGGCTAACCTTGTACCAATTTCCTTTATCACTTTAAACCAATGGCCAAGATTGGAGTATTCTTATACAGATTGCCCTGATGCCATCTTGGAAAGTCTAAGTAGGAAGGCTGTTAGAATGTTGTGACTGCAACAAAGCATGGAACATGAAAGATAATATTCTATGTGTAATCTGTGTGTATATGTGTAATGTGCATGAGTTTACGTGAAAGCACTAGTTAAAGAAGAAAATGAGCAGCTTTAAGTAGATAAGTGCAGATGACTTTTCTCCTTGAACCTCAGAGTTACTCATTTACAAAAGCAGGATAATACCTTTGTCAGAGAATCCTGGTGGGTTTTTATATAGTACACTGCAAACATTTTTTCTCTATCATGGATGCATATCAAGTACAAATGTGGCTATTGTTTATTTTTTATGTACAGACACAGAGACACATATTTGTAATTTTGTGACTAAAAATGAAGTAACAGAATGAGGAAGTGCACTTTACAATTTCCTGATTGTTACTTCTCTTATTGATGATAGCCTTTCACTAAGTGGAGATGACATACATTGATTACTCATATTAGCACTTGAAAATTTTGTCTTCTGAGAATCAAGTTGACTTATAGACTAAAATAAAGGTAACAGAGCAGGAATATAAAAGTTCAACACCCAGCACCAGCACTTATAAATTATGGACTTGAATAGGTCCTTCCTCTTTCCCATGGTTACTGTGTACAGGCTTATTGTGATGACTAGAGGAAGTAATGCATTCTAAGCACTTAGAAGAATGTCCCTCATATAGTAAGTGTCAACAAAAATTAGCTATTGCAGAGGCTGGTTTAGGGTGTTCACTGATGAGAAAAGGAAAACTATGTTGGAATTTTCACTGATCCTCTAAAAATTGCACTCAAAAAATGAGCAAGTAAAATTCACAGTCGAGTCATAATGCACAATTTTGACCATTGTTCTGTTATGGTTAGAAATAGCACTGAGTCTCCAAAGTATCTTAGAAAGTATAAGAGTAAAAGTTTCCCCAATTTTCTTGAGGTTGAAATAAAAAAAAAGGGTTTTGAGGAAACATAGTCAAATTCATCTCAGGTTCGTCCAAGGGAGAAGTTCTTAGACTAGATGCTCCCAAACTTACTTATCTGAAGCCCTATTTCCAGAAAAACAAATAGTCAGTATCCCCTGGAAACTTTATTTAAGTGAACTAATAGAAAGCACACTCCTACTTACACCCCAGAGACTACTAAAGCCTCCTCAAATCACGCACCCAGACAGTATTACCCACTTTGGGAAAGTCTGTCTTAGACCAATATGAGGAGGTACATCGCCTCACTTGCAGGTTAGATAGTTGTATTTCAGGTGCCTGAATCCTGGAAGATTGGCAGGAGAAGACAAGTTGTGGACAAGAAAATAAGCCATCAGATAAAGAGCAGAGAGGCAGAAACACTAATGCTCAAGGTCCTAGAAAAATACTGACTGGTTTCTGTGCTCAAGTGAATGGAGGTTGGGGGCAGATGAAGTAAGTGTAAAAGTTGAAAGTAAAAAACAAAGAATATTGTTTCTCTTTCCTAGGAGTCCAGGGTAAGTAGTTAAAGTCTAATACAAAACCTGCCTCATGTTTAATACATAGCTTCCATCTTCAGGAAAATACTAGGTCTCAGTGCTTTGCATTTCTAGAAAAATTTGAGAAAGGGCCAGGGCAAGGCAACTATTTTGCTCTGTAGTTCTTATATTAAGACACCAAAACAGGCGGCTCACTCCTACTTATACTTATTACCTAGCCCCTCATCACAGGACCGTATCTAGGAAGCCTGGGAAGTACAGTCTTGACACGAGCAGCTATCTGCCTAGCTAAATCTTTATTGGCATAGAATGGTGGTTAGTGAATGGAGGTTGTCTCAATCGGAAATCAGACAGAGGTAGAACCTGTGAATCAAATCCTAAACCACATGTAAAGTCTATTCCCTTGGCAAGCATTTCCTGGAGGAGAGAATTCTATAACTTCACAGCGGTGATGCTCTGCTAAGGCTCCAAGGACTCCTCAGCACTCTCCCTATTTATGACTTTGAAGATGGCCTCAGGAAGGTGTGGGTCTTGAGTTATAGTTCTCTTCTCTCTTCGTTTTTTTTTTAAGAATCTTGGTTGGGGAGACAGCTCAAATGATGCATGTTATGATTCCTGGCATACCACACTGCATGGGACCACTGGAATGGACACATGAACACAGTGAAGGGAGTAGTTCCCAGCACCAATATGTGCAGCTCCCCCAATTAGCATACTTTCCTCAATTGCCTATGCTATTTTTAGATATTATGTGATATACTCTGAATATCAACAGATGGACTAGTAAGAGAATGAGATGATAATACGAATTAACGGGATTAGACTATAGAGTTGCATGCAAAAGAATATTTTCATAGCACATATGCAAATATATATACACAAAGCATCTGTACCATAAATTAACAATGTTTATTTTCTATGAAAGAAATTATATGCAAATATATGTCCACTGCAAATCAAAAAAAATCTATAATTTATATACATATATCTCAAGGAAGACACTTTGTTTAATGACTAAATGCTTACTAATACTGTAAAAGCTTTTCTCTAATATCTAATATTTATTTATGGTATTTATGAAATCTCTTTAAATTCTCCCAGAAGATAATGCCACTTAAGGATTACTTGAAATTCTTTGTTTCGAGTATGTACTCTGAAAATTTAGTCCTATGTATGTAGGAAATTGATGAGGTTTTCTTTGATTGTGTTTGTGATTACCATTGTATACTTAATTTATAGCCCAATGCACGATATTTTATACACTTAAAGTTATGAATGAATGACGAAAAAGTAATGATGTATCCTTGAACAAATGGATAGACATTTTGGATGCTTACATTTCCTCTTTGAAACTCCTTTAGTATTCTTCAGAAATTCGTTTCAGGGTTCTCATCAGCAGGCTTCTACTAAAGAAGCAATAAAGATTTTAAATTTAATAGCAACGGCTTGATTTAATTTTCAGAGTTTGCTGATTCATGTGCTAAATTCTGCTTTACATTGTCACATGTTCTCAGAACCATGCCAGAATACTGATGGTTTGAATCCTGGTCTTTTTGATAACATGCAGGATGTGAAAACATGAAGATTGACATCATGTTTCTGGTGGACAGTTCTGGCAGTATAGGCAATGAAAATTTCCAGAAAATGAAAACCTTCATGAAAAGACTGTTAGAAAAGACTGAAATTGGGCCCAACAAGACCCACGTAGGCGTGGTCCAGTTTAGTTATGACAGCAAAGAAGAGTTCCAGCTGAACACATATTTTACACACCAAGAAGTTTATCGTGCCATCGACAGGATGGTTCTCATCAGCCAAGGCACTAACACAGGAAAAGCACTAACATCTCTGCTCCCTTACTTCACCCCCGCCAGGGGTGCGCGAGCCGAGGTCAGACAGTTTCTCATTGTCCTCACCGATGGAGAAGCCCAAGACAGTGTGGGCGCACCTGCCCTGGAGCTCAGGAATAGGGGCGTGATTATCTTCTCTGTGGGCGTATACGGCGCCAATCGGCCGGAGCTGGAGGAGATCAGTGGGGACAGCAGCCGAGTGTTCCATGTGGAGGACTTTGATCTTCTGGAGGGCATCGAAAAGCAGCTCATCTTCCAGGTGTGCGCACTGCACGGTAAGTGATCCAATAGCTACCTCGGGCTGAGAGACAGGAGCTGCTGACTCGCTGGTCGTCTATAAAGGAGTCAACGGTGGATTGGACTCTTGAGTTTAGGCTTCAGGCGGACTTTGATGTTAAAATTTTGTCACACTGGGGCCGGAACGACAGTACAGCGGGTAGGGCATTTGTCTTGCACGCCACCAACCCGGATTGGATCCTTGGTATCCCATGTGGTCCCCTAAACTGCCAGGAGTAATTTCTAAGCGCAGAGGCAGGAGTAACCCCTGAGCATCACCGGGTGTGACAAATTAATTAATTAATTAATTTAAAGGAAGGAAGGAAGGAAGGAAGGAAGGAAGGAAGGAAGGAAGGAAGGAAGGAAGGGAGGGAGGGAGGGAGGGAGGGAGGGAGGGAGAGAAGGAGGGAAGGAGGAAGGAGGGAAGGAAGGAAGGAGGGAAGGAAGGAGGGAGGGAAGGAAGGAAGGAAGGAAGGAAGGAAGGAAGGAAGGAAGGAAGGAAGGAAGGAAGGAAGGAAGAGGAAAATGGTCACATCTCTGTTAAATCAGTGACTTTTAGAAAATATTCCAGGTGAACAATTTTAGCTGATTTGGCAATAAAATAGTCTAACTTTGATGGTTTGAAATCTGTTATAAGGAGTTCTCCAAATTTTATATTGAACTCTGATCTCTCATACCAGTCTACTGATACTTTCCAGATCCAGTGTTTTCATCTCAAATGAGTTCCCAGAATCTTTGACAAGCTATGACCATTGTTAAGTAGTAAATAATTTAAAATATAAATTCATCTTCATCTTAGTTCAGCCCCCTAAGTGCACACCCTCCACCATAGGAAAAAGCTATTTAAAAGATTAAAATGGAATTGGAGCTACAGTACAAGTAGGGCACTTGTCTTGAATGTGTCCAACCCCCTTGTTCATCCCTGGCATCCCATACAGTCGCCCAACACTTCCAGGAGTGATTCCTGAGTGGAGAACTGGAAGTAACTCCTGAGGACCACTGGGTGTGGCCCCTACCCTCCAAGAAAGAAAAATGTCTGTTTCTGGACTAGAGCGATAGCACAGCAAGTAGGGCGTTTGCCTTGCACACGGCTGACACGGGATTGATTCCCAGCATCCCATATGGTCCCCTGAGCACCTCCAGGAGTAATTCCTGAGTGCTTGAGCCAGAGAGCCAGGAGTAACCTCTGTGCACTGCCGGGTGTAACCCAAAAGCAAAAAAAAAAAAAAAGTCTGTTTCTGTTCATGTTTTTCTTTCTAACTTTAGTGGGTTTGTTTTTGAGTCATACCCAGAAATACTCAGGGGTTAATCCTGACTCTGCACTTAGGGGTTACTCTTGGTGGTGCTTGGGGAACCAAATGTAATACCAAGGATTGAACTTGGGTCGACTGCATGCAAGAAAAATAATACCTGCTGTACTGTCACTCTGGTCCCACCTGTATAACTTTTATAAACTAGATATTTTACATTTTCCTGTTCATGGATACATTTTAATTTGTTCCTTAAAAACATGATTACCTGGAGTACTCATTTTAATCTGATGAGCTGCAGTGCTTTCAAAACATACTGAGCAAACTTGAGTTTGAATGTGTTAATTTTGAACAATGACTTGGCTTAAAGTTATAAAAATGCTTGTGCTTTTGAGCCCATTTTGTTGTCTGTGATTTGGATATAAGCAAGAGAACAAACCAAAGTGTTAGTTAAGTTTGTTTTATGCAGTTCTTGGAAACAAAGAGAACTTTAAAAAAAAACACTTCTTATTAATTATTTATTTGGAGTTTTAGACCACAACCAGCAATGGTTGTGATCATGCCTGATGGTGGTCCAGCGGACCATATGGGGTGTCAGGAATTGAATTCAGGTCATCTTCATGCAAGGCAAGCACCCTGCTGGCTGTACTATCTCTCAGGCCTTTGAAGACACTTCCTCTAGACTTTGTTCTTTAAAATAAGTGTGTAAAATGTCTGGAAGTTGATAAAACTTCTCTGTAAATTCTTCAAGTCTTTTTCTTCCTTCAAAATGACAATGACTCTCGAATTCTTAGTAAGTAATGAGACGTTTTAAGAAAGGCCTCCCTAGGGCCAGAGAGATAAAACAGTGGGTCAGGTACTTACCTTGCACACAACTGACCAGAGTTCAATCTCTGGCATGATATATGGTTCTCCAAGCCTGCGAGATGTTATAATCAAGTGAAGAGCCAGGAGTAAGCTTGAACACAGCCAGATAAGCACAGAAATAAAAACAACAACAAAAATTGGTGAAAATTCTAGAGTTTTGGACCACTCTAAAACACCAAGTCTGGTTGGCAATACCATTAAATTGACACTGGACCACCTCAAACATTTATTTTCTGTTGGAAACCTGCTTAGCAAAAGGTGTTGCTCATCCTAATGGTTGATTAGAATAATGTGGAATGAATTATTAGAACAAAGATCTGTCAATGACAGTCTTTTAGATAAAACACAAATACAATCTGTCCAGTTGTATGCTTCTGAAGCCTGGTTTCTTCCCTTATCCAATGAATAGGTGACCAACCTCAGAAATATCATTGTCTTTGGACAATATTATCTTGCTCTCTCCCTTTCCAGCAGCTTGTGTAGATTCACTGCATGGTTTTTGATGCTTGCTTTCTCCTTTCAGATTGTAAAGACATTGAAATGCTAGATGTTGTATTTGTCCTGGACCAGTCAAGCAGCATCGGGCCACAGCAGCAAGAAAGTATGATTAATCTAACAATCCACTTGGTGAGAAAAGCGAATGTTGGCAGGGACCGGGTTCAGTTCGGAGCTCTCAAGTACTCAGATAGTCCTGAGGTTATTTTCCACCTTAATAAATACTCCAGCAAGTCAGCCATCATTGATAATTTGATGCAATACAAGAGCAGTGGAGGGAATACTTACACTGCCAAGGCTCTCAATTACTCAAATACCATGTTCACGGAGGAATATGGCAGCCGCCTCAAGCAAAATGTGAGGCAGATACTGATCATCATCACTGATGGGGAATCCCATGACAGAGAGGAGCTTGACAGTGTAGCCCTGAGATTAAGGGACAAAGGCATCACCATCTATGCGGTGGGTGTAGGAGAGGCTAAGCGAGATGAACTTGAGGCAATGGCAGGAGATAAAAACAAAGCCATCCATGTAAATGATTTTAAAGAACTGGAAAAAACCTACCTGTTACTCCAAGAAGAACTGTGTCAAAGTTCATCAGAAGGTGAGTTGCGATTTTGTATTTCTGTAGGGGTGTCAATGAAAGTTCAAATGAAACATAAATTCCAAGTTTTGATTCCTATTAACTGAGTATCATGAGCTGAATATTACTCAAGACACTTTTTCTCGTTATTTTTAAAGAAATATAATTGAGCAAAATCTAAATGTTCTTTCTTGTCACCATATGCATTGTCTGCTAGGAAGTTTGAAAAACATTCCTTGCTGTATGGTTTGCTGCCTAGATCTTGACAGAAAACTTTTCTGAAGACCACATTCAACTTACCTCATTTCACAGCTACTTATGTTGCTTCATTTGCTTAACAGACTCAATCAGACAATGGGCATGAGTTTTAGCATGAATGCAAATGGTCAAACTCATGGTTAAAATAGGCTGTTTTCTTTTAAAAATCCTAATGGGTTTTTTAGACCTATTGTGGGCTTGTGGGGAACCCAAATAATCTTAATGTACTTTTTTGGATAAGAACAACTGAACAGAAGAGATCAATAATATATTAGCTGAATGTAGGGAAATTGGGAGTGCTACTGAGAATATGGAAGGAAGGGGCCTAAGGTGATCCCAGGGGGGAAACAAATCCCTACACTGCAATGAAGGGATTCACAACGTGAATGAGGAATGGGTGACTTGCCGCTGGATCTTCAGAGACTGCCAAGGCAGAGTATTTTCTGTTTCTCAGCCCAGTCCTCCCAACAAGGAAAGGAAGGCACCAACTCACTTCATTCTTTGCTTCTTCACTTTTCTTTCCCACCATTTTCTCTTCTCCCTTTTTTTCTTCTCTTACTTTTTAAGAGTTTGAGGTCTACTTTGGCACTCAATACGAATCAGTGGGTTTTCTGAAACCTACTCCCCATCCCTGAAAACTGTCCAACCAGAAATGAATCATCCTCCACCCACATTCCCATTGGATCAGTATTTTTTGCACTGAATGGAATTATATCTGACCAGCAGGGCTATCGTTTACGAAAGTAATTAATCTAGTCTACACTCTAATGTACCTAATCTGTGATATGTTGATAGTGATCCAAATTCTGTTTTATTTCCCATGACTACCATTTGGAAATAGACACTGAGATGGATTGGGTCTGGAAGTAAGTGTATTATGCACTGTCTGTCACTGTCCTCCTATTGTTCATCGATTTGCTCAAGCGGGCCCAGTATTTTCTCCGTTTTGAGACTTGTTACTGTGTTTGGCATATTGAATATGTGGCTTGTCAGGCTTTGCCGTACGGGCGAAATACTCTTGGTAGCTTGCCGGGCTTTCCAAGAGGGGCGGAGGAATCAAACCTGGCTCTGCTGGGCTGGCTGCGTGAAAAGCAAACACCCTACTGCTGTGCTATCGCTCCATGATCTCCTGGTTATAAGACAAATTCATATTCAACTTTAAGAAGATGATCCTATGTCTTCTTTTTTTGGAACTTGTCCTCTGAAAATTAAAATTTAAAATTATTATATTATTAAAAAACATACAAAACTTTGCAGTAGAAATAAAATTCTGAATTAACAGTGGAAGATACTGGCAGTTCATGCACCAGTTTTCTGCATAGTAACTGGGTCTCTAAGGTAAATCACTCTGAATATCTAAGTTCAATATTCAATCTAAGTTGCAGTACTAAGTTCTAAGAGGTCATGGTGTTTGTTCAGAGCATTTGTTATTTTTAATGGGACTGTAAGGCTGGAGTAGCTTTTCAATTGGGTGGAAGCTTTGGGGTATAGATGTGACTCCCAAGGCTTCCAGAAGTACAGGGATGAGGGGGAGGTGGCCCATTCTGACCTCGAGAAAGCCTGGAGATTTCAGTCACAAAATCTGCAAACCAAAACTTTCAGCAGATTATATCTTGGTAAGGTTCATCGTGAAACAGTGGAGTCTGACTGGAGGTATGGCAGCAATTTTCGATTGTGGGATAAAGTGGCTGCCAGGGGCTCAGTTTGGGTGGGCCACCAGATCAACTCGCCCCCCGTCTGATTTATCCCAGTCTGTTTAGCCATGTGTGGGTCTGAGATTAACTGTGACTTTTTATCTCTTTCAAGATTTATCTATGGGTCTCTGAAATAAGGCCAATAAATGAGCTTGTATAGATGAGTCGAAGGTGGTTTGTGGGTGTGGTTCCCACATTCTTTAACTTTTTACCATTTAACTTCTTGGTAAACGTGGTCCCAAGTTGTTGGGGTCCAGCCAAATGTAGTTTGGGGTTTTCAGGAACCTGAAGACACCATCAGGCTGCTGATTCACTTGCCCTTTCCCTTTTCGTTGAGAGTCCATGATTCTATCTTCTGTGACTGCATCTCAGTTTGCTGTTAAACCAAGGATGTGGTCCAGCCAGTTAAGTACTAGAGTGAATGGAAAATTGACAGAACAACTTCTGAGAAATCCATTTGGTTCCTTTTTTTTTCTTCCCATAGTTTGTGATGAAAAAGCCGATGTGATTTTCCTTTGTGACAGCTCCAAAGAAGTACCTGCCATAGAGTTTTCTAAAATCAAAACTTTATTGTCAAACCTACCTGAGATGTTTGAACTTCAGTCCCAAAAAATTAGAATCGGAGTGGCCCTTTTCGGGAATCACTACAAGGAAATTATCCATTTGGGGGAATTTCTGACAAAAGACAAGTGGAACGCTGAAATCCAAAAGCTGAAGGAGACTAACTTCAATTTTGATGTCTATATTGCCCTTCGCCAAGTGGCATATATGTTTGACAAAGTCCGTGGTGGGAGAAGAGAGGCAGGTGTCCCTCAGACCTTGGTGGTGATCTCAAGCCGGCCTCCCAACAGAGATGTGTCAGAGGCAGTGAAACAGCTGAAAGATCTGAAAATCCACATCCTGGTTCTGGGCATCGGAAATCATCCCAAGGACCAGTTTCTACCATTAACAGGGGATTTCGATAAAATAACCATCTTGGAAAACTTTGATCAATTAAATGTTGTCAAACAGAAAAAGAGAATTGTTCGGGAAATCTGCCAGAATGATGAGCCGAGTGGTAAGTGTTCCTGGTTTAAGTGTTTCTGGATAAGAGCAATTGAAGACAAGAGAACAATAATCAATTAGCTGAAAGTAGGGAAATAGGGAGTGCTACTGGGAATATGGTAAAACATACTTGGCTCCTCCTTCATTACTGGTGATGTTTCAGGTCCTCAGGGTATGTGCACGGGAGCAGTAGAAGAGCAGAGACTTGTACAGTGTGTGGGTCAGGATGCACCTGCCCTCAGGTGTGGGATGAATTGGCATCACTTGGAGACCAGGAAAGTAAGGGAAGAGGCTGGTAACCCTATCCCCTCATTATTGTCTACTGTTTGTGCTCCTTTTTGCACTTTTTTATGCCAAACACAGTAACAACAAAGTCTCCAATGGAGACGTTACTGGGCCCGCTCGAGCAAATCGACGATCAACGGGAGGGCCTTTACCTTTACCTTTACCTCTTCTCCTGTCTCCTCCTCCTGAATTTTAAGGGTCTGAAGATAAAGTCTTACCTCCAGTAGGAAATAAGTCAAAAGAACGTTTGGTAATTGGCAGATTCGCCATTTAAAATATATTAACTTGCTTTGTGAGGTAGAGTTTCTCAACCTTATTCCAGCTTCTCTTCCCTTCTGATCCTTTTTCCTTTTTGTGACCTGTCCTGTCCTACTGAGTGACTCTCTGATAACAAGCTGGGCCCCCATCATGTACAGGATTTTGACCTATGGCCCTTTTGAAATACCCTGGGAGTCTTACATCACTCCCCCACATTGAGAGATGCTGTTGTAAGGGACTTGCATGTGTATCTATGTCTGTCTGTGTGTGCATGGATGTGTGACTGTATCTGTGGCTCTGTCTGCTTTAAATGACACTAATAACAGCATGTCACAGGAAAGCTCTGCGTTGTCCTCCAGTATGATTTAGATTCCAGACCCACAAGTGGGATTGGCTGAAAAAGCCAGGAGGGTGCTCTGAACGAGTCCTGGGGGCAGGAAGTTTGTGGAAAGTAGATGAAGAAATAGGTAGTCACCTGCCAAGACTGCCAACATTCTGCTCCAGTGAGTGTGTGGAACTCAACAACAGGTGCCAGAGCAGATAAGATCTGTCCCAGCACAGCAGATAAGACCCGTCCCTGTGTAGCGATCCAGTAGGGAGTGTCTGAGCCTATTTTGACAAACACCGGGTATCCGGCCTTGAGTCTCACCCAATCCCCCAAGAATTGTCACCTACGCTTAGAGAGTCATTCCTAACTGCAGCATCTAGCCCTATTTGGGATTGGGCCAGGGCAAAGGAGAGTTGGAAAGGCCAGTAATGCTAAACTTTATGTGATTGGACCATCCTCTTAAACCAGGACCCTTTATAAAATATCTGTGTATCTGGCAATAAAGTGAACTGCCATTGGCTGTCTCCTGGAGTGGTTTCTCCACTTGCTCATCATCCTTCACCCCACATCTTCCTGGACCCAGTGCACAATGTGTCTGGGCATGTTGGAGAAAAACTGTTCCCCAACAAGAGTGGACCTAGGGGTGGGGCTCAAGGTCTCCGTTTGGGAATTGGGAGGACAGAACATCAGGGAGCAGTGGCCTGAGGAAATTCCTCATTAGCTCATTTTTCTAGAGTGGACAGAAGTGAAGTCACTTCTTTCACACAATGCATAGTTTGTTTCAAACTCCTCATCATCTTGGGGTACCCACTGGAGGCAGGTTACTGTGGTAGATGAAGTGTTGGGCCTGGACTCAGAAAGTTAGGTTTCCTCCCCCTGCTGTAGGGAAGCAACTTCTGTGGGAAACAAGTCAGTTGGTAAGACAAGGGGGACCAAATGGCGATTCGCAAATGATTTGCGTGCTCCCGGCTGGTGCCAAGAGTGTGTTGAATGAGTGGCCAGACTGGAGTGGTAACAGACTGGTGATTTTACATTAGAAATATGAATTTCAGTCTTTGCTTGGAAAAACTCAGATGATTTGGCAATATTAGGCCCCCGTACCTAAAAAGGGACGTGATGAGGTCTGATTCATTCTTCATTTTCCTTCTACCCTGCCCATCTGTTGCAGGCACCATAACCCACCTGGCCTTGGCAGGCATTTGAGTCTTGGCAGGCATTTGGACTAGATTATCTCTAAGGACAATTTAGATCTGTGATATGTTGGTAATATATTGGGAATATATGAATTCTACTTTATCTGAGATCACAGCTGTTAGAATGGGGGCAGGGGGCAGAGGAAGTCCACTAGTTCTTCACTCTTGGAGCAGTCAGTATTTTCCTTTAGGACAGGTTTTGGGGTCTGAAGCTCCATCTACCCCTGGCCGTAACTGTGCGACCTGCTCCTGCCCCATCTGTCTTTGCTTGCTGCTGTCCTCATGCTGATCTCGTCTCCTTCCCCCTTGACCTCCAGAGTGTACCGTGAACGTAGTGGTCGGCTTTGACATTTCCACTCATGTACGGGGGCAGCGCCTATTGGACGGCCACTCCCGGCTGGAATCAGCTCTCCCAGACATCCTGGAGGAAATCTCCTCCATCAGCGGGGTGAGCTGTGGGGGAGGCTCTGAGGTGCAGGTGGCTATGGCCTTTAAGGTGAGCAGTGATCAACAAGGCCCTGCCAAGTTCTGGATTTACCAGAAGGAGCTATTCAACCGCCTGCTGCTGCCGGCTACCGTGACTGGTCCGAGCCATTTCAACGTGCCGTTCCTGCAGTCGCTGTGGGATACCTTTGGAAATACATCCTCATCCCAAGGACAGGTATGCCTGGCAAAACGCCAACCTCCAGCCCCAGTGTGTTTTACCCAAGCCTCCTCTCTCTCCATCAGTTATTTTTGTTTCCACTTCACCCTGCCCCCTGCCTTTCTCACCCCCTAGGTGCTGCTCATTTTCTCAGATGGTCTTGGGGATGAAAGCGCCATGTTGCTCGAAGAATATTCTGACAAGCTCAGGGCAGCAGGTAAGAGTGGGGCATTTCAAAGCAAAGTATGGAATGTGTTCAACAAGCATCTGTTAATCCAGGATGTCTAGAGCGGCTTTGCAACTACAGGGGTGTGGGAAGGTGGGAAGCACAGCTATATTGCCTTGTCTGTAGGTCTGGGGACCTGTGTGTAGGACAGTGAAGGCCAGCAGTTAGAAAAAGATTGAAAACTCGTGCTCTAGAGCCAAGCTGTTCACTGGTTTCCACTCAGGACCTTTTCCTGCCCGGGAAATTCAGGGAGGATACTGTGGCTAGAAATACCTCCGATTCGTGGCATTGTAGCACTGTCCTCCTGTTGTTCATTGATTTGCTCGAGCAGGCCCAGTAATGTCTCTATTGTGAGACTTGTTGTTACTGTGTTTGGCATATCAAATCCATCACTGGTAGCTTGCCAGGCTTTGCTGTGCGGGCAAAATACTCTCAGTAGCTTGCCGGGCTCTCCGAGAGGGGCAGAGGAATCAAAACCAGCTCAGCTGGGCCGGTGACTTGCAAGGCAAATGCCCTACCACTGTGCTATCGCTCCAGCCCAATTCCTCTACCCCTCTCGGAGAGCCCGGCATGCTACCGAGAGTGACAGTGCTACAGATTCATGGCACAACTAATTTTTGAATTCATTTCTTTTTTATCATTGCACACTCATAAACCTTTTTCTGTTGCTGTATTTTTCCACATTCCACTAGTCATGGTCCATCACAAGAAGACAGGCTCTAGATTTTGGGATCTATCTTAGCACTTATAGCACAGACTGTTGGTGCCCACCCAACCCTCTTGATCAGCCCCATCTTCTCCCATTGCTGCAAATTACATGAACAAGGTTTCTATCTGGGTCCTTCTGACACATGCCTTTGACTCAACCTTGGCATACAACTTCCAGTGTAGTATGGTGTGGTCCCATGTTGCTCTAGGAGTAGGAAGAGTGTTAATAAGGACAGTGGTACTCAAGATCAGTCCCCCTCCTTCAAATGAGTCAGACCCACCACAGTTCACACTCCCAGGTGACTGAGTCTCAGGTGACGAAGGTCAAGGTGAAAACTTTATTGTGACATATCATTGCCTTCAGTTTCCTCTGCCCTTTTTGTCTTCTCTCTGCCAGTCAGTTTACTCATGGGCAACATGCACATACAAATGCACACATGCATGAAAATTCCTCTTTCAGAGTCTGCTTCTTGACAGCCTGATCTAAGATGTGTCCTTTGACTTTATTCTCTCCATGTGAGAGATAAAAGAATGGATTTTGAATGACAAGTCTCACTATTATTTTCTGTCCATGTCAGTCTCAGACCAAGCTGGAAGTAAAATGCAGTCATCGAAAATAATATCTATGGGTAACAGCTTGAGTAATCAATAGCTGAAAAGGTCAGGCACGTGTCTAGCATGATTCCTGGCACAGTATAACCCTCCGGCATGGCCTGGTGTTGCCCTAGTAGCCTTCAAGCTGTGTTGAGTCTGAGCATTGGATGATGAGACCCACATAGCCAGGCCAAACATTGCCAGGAGTGATACCTGTAAAAGAAAAGTTACAAAAGGTGGGGCAATGCAAAAAAAAGGGTGGAACAGTGAATTAAAAGGTACCTAGAGAAAAGTGAGGCTGTGAGCTTAACCTCAGATGCTCTTGCGTGGGCCTAGGGAATCCTGACAGCCACAGAGTCTGGGATCCCTGGCAAGGCATATGAAACAGAATCTGAAAAAGTGTCCATGGAGAGTAACATGTAGCAACTGGAGCAGGGACTCTGCAATAATCAGATGGGGTGCATTGCTCACGAATTCCTATGGAATTTACATCTGGGATTTTGCTCCCATAGGCAACCTTACCAGAGACCACAAAGCAGCCCACTTTCATGCTCTTTTATCACAGTCCCGTCTCAGCCCTTTTACACTACCCTGCTGCTGTTGGGATAGTGAGTTGCTTACTGTGCCCCTTTCCCAGCTTTTCCGGATGTCTCTGCTGCTTCTCACACCAGCTCTATTTAGTTTCTTTTGGTTGGTTTGTTTGGGGGTCCCACCCAACTGTAATCAGGGCTTACTCCTGGTACTTCTCACTCATGGTGGGGTTTGGGGGACTGCACGGGGCGCCAGGTATAGAACCCGAGATGGCCATGTGCAAGGCAAGTGCATGCCAGCTCCCCTATCTCTCCAGCTCTTCCAGCTCAACTCCTTACACTCAGACTTGCAGGCCTTCCATAACTTTTCAATCTCTCTGCAGATGCTTCACAGACTTGTTCTCCCAAGACTTGCGTGGACTAGTTTGCTTGAAACCTTCCATCCCCACTCTCAGCCCCTACTCAATTTCTCTTTCCACCTTCTGCTTTAGGCTCTTTCCCTGGACCAGCTCCTGTTCAGCTATCAGGATAAGCAGAGTCATTAGGTCTCTGCAGAAACTCTCCAAGGCTGAGCTAGGAGCTTGCTGAGGTTGCTCATGCCCCCAGCATACCCTCTAAGAGGATCACCATGTCTCCAGGCAACTGTGTGGTTCTTATGTACCTCTACAAAGGGCAAGTCTGTGCAGGAAATAAGCAGTCCCGTCCTATATAACCATTAGGAATCAACTGTCACTGTCACTGTCCTCCCGTTGTTCATCAATTTGTTCAATTTGTTTGCGGGCCCAGTATTGAATACATCATGGGTAGCTTGCCAGGCTTTGCCGCGCAGGAGAGATACTCTCGGTAGCTTGCCGGGCTCTCTGAGAGGGGCGGAGGAATCGAACCTGGCTTGGTGGACTTGCTGTGCGCAAGGCAAATGCCCTACCGCTGTGCTATTGCTTCAGCCAGGCTCCTAAATACACATCTTTGCTGAAAGGAGACCTTGGGTAGATGGACAGCTGAAGGAATTAGTGAGTGATTGAGTAAAGAAAGAAGTCTCAGGTTATGAGCACAAATCTAGCAGTCTGGAAGCTCCTGCAAAGAGACGGCTGGGTAGGGGTGGTGAATGGAGAAACTGGTATCGATTTATTCAGTTTACATTCAGAAAACTTTCTTATTTTTGGCTTTTGGGCCACACTCATAGTGTTCAGGGCTAACTTCTGTCTCTGCAATCAGGGATCACTCCTGGCGGGGCTTAGGGAATCATATAGGGTGCCAGGTATTAAATCTGGGTCAGTCATCTGCAAGAAAAGTTTCTTACGTATGGTATTATCTTTTCAGCCTTGATATCCTGTCTTAAAAATTATTTTTGTGTGATCCAAACTTTATTTAACTGATACTTTCATGGTCACAGTCACGGTCCTCCCGTTATTCATCGATTTGTTCGAGTGGACCCAGTAACATCTCCATCGTGAGACTTGTTGTTACTGTGTTTGGCATATTGAATACGTCACAGGGAGCTTGCCAGGCTTTGCCGTGCGGGCCAGATACTCTCGGTAGCTTGCCGGGCTCTCCGAGAGGGGCAGAGGAATCGAACTCAGGTCAGCCATATTGGCCGATTGCAAGGCAAACGCCTTACCCACTGTGCTATCGCTCCAGCCCAACTGATACTATAATGTTTTTATTTTTATTTTTTAAACTTTTATATTAAATCAGTGTGAGATAGACTCAAAGCTGTTCATGATTGGATTTCAGTCATACAGTGTTCCAATATCCATCCCTCCGCCAGTATACATTTCTCAGTACCAGTGTTCCCAGTTTCTCTCCCATTATTCCCCCCGACCACCACCACCAGCCTGCCTCTATAGCAGGTGCTTTTCTTCTCTCTCTCTCTCTCTGTCTCTCTATCTGTCTTTCTCTCTGTCTGTCTGTCTGTCACTCTCTCTCTGTCCCTCCCCTCCCCTTCCATTGGGCATTGTGGGTTGCAATACAGATGCTGAAAGACCATAGACCATTCCTCTACCTACTTTCAACACTAAGATCTTGTCCAGCGTAATCACTCCCAGCTATCATTGCCATACTTGTCTCTTCTCTATTCTATATACTCTCTGCCCCTCACACATTTGTGGTTTATTCCAACTATTGGCCAGTCCTCCCTAGACCCTGTTTTCCTGGCCATGGATATTAGTCTTCTATTATATGCTTTTTATACAGCAAATGAATGCAGTCATTCTATATCTGTCCCTCTCCTTCTGACTCATTTCACTCAGCATGATACTCTCCATGTCCACCCATTTATAGGCAAATTTCATGACTTCATTTTCCTAACAGCTGAGTAGTATTCCATTGTGTGGTTGTACCATAGTTTCTATATCCAGTCATCTGTTCTCAGGCGCTTAGGTTGTTTCCAGATTCTGGCTATTGTGAATAGTGCTACAATGAACATAGGATTGCAGATGGTATTTCTGCTGTGTGTTTTTGGGCCTCCAGGGTATACTCTTAGATGTGGTATTTCTGGAATTGTGACCAAAACTTGCCTTGAAGTGGGTGGTCTGGTTGCAAGCAGTTTTTGTCTTGTGTAGGATGTTCTTCTACCTCTTAGTGAACCTTCCCTAAGTGGGAAGATGATGGGCTTTTCTTCTTTGCCACCTCCCACACCCTTAGTTTTTCTATCTGTTCTTTCTACTGGGCAGGACTTGATGCTCTGCTGGTGGTGTCCCTGAACACAAATGCTCATGAGGACTTTTCCTTCTTTGAGTTTGGAAAAGGTTTCGATTATAGGACTCACCTGAACATTGAAATGAGGGACGTGGGCACAATGCTGGCACGGTATCTGGTGAGTTGTTAAACAGAAAATCCCATACTTCCAAATGCTATTGGGGGCTGGGGAGAGGGGGAGCACTCAAAGGCCTCAGCACATGTCTGAGATACTGAGGTCTCCAGCATCACATGGACCCCCCCCACTCCCCATTGTATATGGCTCTGGGGTTCTCCAGAACCTCTGACACTGAACGTACAGTCTGACCCACAGAACTAGAGTATCAGAGTATCACTGGACCTTGGGTCTACTGAGCACTGTTTGGGAGCACCCCACCCAACAGAACCACCACCAACATACACTCAAATGGTTACAACAACAAAATTGAACTCTTGAAAGGTATTTCCAAAGACTATTTTAACCCATAAATTAGGCATAGGGTCTCCCATAGACATCAGGCTTCCAACAGGTCACACAACAGAGATCCCAGAGAAAAGCTGCTGTCAGAAGGCAGGGCAGCTGGAGCATGCTGGGCCTGTGGGGTCTAGGGCGCCCCCTTTCTGTAGTTAGAAGTTATTTCCTGGGCCAGGTAGATGACTAATGAAGCATCTTGCCTGAGCCTCCTTTTCAGTATTAAGTCCAAAAGTTCCTCAGTGAGGGGGCTGGAGCAATAGTACAGCAGGTAGGGTGTTTGCCTTGCACGCAGCTGACCTGGGTTTGATTCCCGGCATCCCATATGGTCCCCCGAGCACTGCCAGGAGTAATTCCTGAGTGCATGAGACAGGAGTAACCCCTGAGCATCCCAAAAAGAAAAAAAAAGTATAGCAGGTAGGTCTCTTTTCTGGCACAAAGCTGACCCCAGGTTCAATATCTATGATTCTCTCCCTGAGTCAAGCCAGAGTGAACCCTGAGCATAGAGCTAGGAGTCAGTTCTGAGTATCACTGGGTGTCGTCTAAAAACAAAACACCAACAACCAAAACTCCAAAGCTCCCCTTCTCTTTATAGTTCCTAGCCTGTCGAGAGGGTTAAGTAGTGGAACATGTCTTGTGTGAGTATGCTTTTTTTGAGTCATGAAATTCCTAGAAAGTGTTACTTACTCCACTGCTCTTTTTCCAGGGAAACACTGCCGAGAGGACTTGCTGCTGTCAATTTTGCAAGTGTGTAGGGCCACGAGGAGATCGTGGGATTCCAGGACAACAGTTGGAAAAGGTACCGTGCAGCTGTGACTGTGTTTTCCCCACCACACCTTCATTTCCTCAGAAGGGGTGGGACTGAGCAGGCTTGGTTGAACTTGCGCTTGTTCCTTTTCTCAGACTGGTCAGTCTGCCCTGAGCATTCCACAGAATGTCTCTATACTAGGAGCTAGTTCACACAAGGACTCACTTAAAAGAAAATTTATTGAATCATTGTGAAATAAAGTTACAAAACTTTCATGTTTGAGTTTCAGTCATACAATGATTCAACACCCATCCCTCCACCAGTGCATTCTCCACCACCAATGTCACCAATATATGCCCCCTTTTCCAACCCTCTACCTGCCTCTATGGCAGACAACTTCCACCATACTCTCTCTCTACTTTGGGGAATTATGGTTTGCATATAGATACTGAGAGGCTATCACATTTGGTCCTTTCTCTACTTTCAGAACGCATCTCTCATCCTGGTGATTCCTCCAACCATCATTTACTTAGTGATCCCTTCTCTATTCCAGCTGCCTTCTCCCTCAGCTCATGAAACAGACTTCCATCTGTGAAGCAATATTCCTGGCCCTTGTGTCTACTGTCCTTGGGTTTCTGTTTCAAATTATGTTATTTTATATTCCAGAAATGAGTGCAGTCCTTCTATGCCTGTCCCTATTTTTCTAACACATTTCACTTAGCATGATACTCTCCATGACCATCCACATATAAGCACATTTCATACTTCATCTTAAGGACTTGCTTTTGATACTGGTAAAGACGACTCCTCTCCTTTTCTGTAGGATTCCTTAATGGTGTCAGTCCTTGGCTTTTTGAGTTTATACTTTCACACCCCACTTTTGACAGTTTGGAAAGGTCGCAAGACAAGGAGAAGTATAGTGAAAGCACATTAGAGTTCATGGCATGAGAGCCTGACTGAACTGCAAAAAGGGAAAGCATAACATTGCAGATTAATAGCCCTCTAACAAAGCAATTATACAAAATCGTGTTCGTGGTGATAACGCAGATAAAGAGCTCCTGGAATACACTCTGGTGATGAAAATGGATGACCAGCACTCAGGAACCTGAACAAAGATGACAGACACAGTGCGTGACTAATAACAGGGACACCCCTAGTAATTGATGGATAAGATTCTATTTGTGAAATTTGGAAAACAGGCAAAACTAATCCAGAGTTTCAAAATATTTTTATTTGAAGATTTGGATCTTCTAAATATAGAAATAGCTGGTTGCATTTCTGAGGATAACCAGTCAAGCTCTGAAGTAGGAAAAAACCGTAAGGAAGTATTATCATGAGAGTCAGAGTGTGAAGGGGGAAGGGAGAAGTAGGAGGCCTACTTTTGGCCTTTGGCTTCATAGATGCTCCCTTTTGAATGAGTAAGTGCATTTTTATTATATTTCCTTGTGTGTGCTTTTCCAAATGTCTTTTATTGGTAATCCCAACTAGGAGATCAAACAAGTTTCTCTGTAGAGGAGAAGCATTTAGCTTGGGCTTCTTACTGAGATCTGACATTCTCTTTAGTACCATTTCCTCTCTTACTGATCAGCTCGTGTCTGGATTAGAATGATTTTCCCAGAGTGCCATGACCCTGTGGGTGTGTGGAGCAGAGAGGCAGGGTCCAAGTGAGAGGCTGAGGAAGGCAGCCTCAGGCGAAACCTGGATCCTTGAGGAGACTGACCAGAGAAGTGACTATAGGAGACATCATCTTCCTAAGCTCATTGTTGGGAGAGTTGCATATTCTTCCCAACGTGCTCAGAAATGGAGAAGAAAAGACACGGACACCTATAGAAATGTCACCGTGTTACCTTCTCAAACTGTGGTGTAGATATAGGACCATGCTTGAGGCTTGAGCTTCACAGGGTGCTTCCAAGGCAGGACCACCATCTACAGAGCTGAGTGGGAAGACAAGAGCCAGCTCCTGAGGTGACAGATTCTCTCCAGACTCACAAATTGATCAGTGGGAGGATGGACTCTGCCCACAAAGGCAGCTGTGGCCACAGACCAGGATTGGAGAGAGATGGTTAATCTAATCTGTATTTTTCTCTTTCCCCAGGGACGTCCAGGTCTCAAAGGCAGCAGAGGTCACAGGGGAGAGGATGGAGACCCTGTAAGTTTTTTGTGGGGGAAAACTACTCCCTTCCCCACACTATTGTCTGTTTTTTATGAAAAAAAAATTTTTTCTCTCACAATTAACTGTGTTTTCCTTCAGGAGGAGTAGTCAGCGCTTTGTTTATCTTTTTGTTTGTTTGTTTGTTTTAATTGGATAAGAAATGGGTTATTTTTCCTGCAGGGATGAACTGACTTGTGGGCAGGAAGAGTAGGGACAGCACCGCGCAGGTAGCCTGGCACATTTAGATGAGTTTGGGAGAGCTGGGATACTGAGATGTCCCCCACCTCTACCTAGTGCAGGGTGGTCTGGAAGAGGCTGGCCCTGGGCTGGAAGACTAGGTATTATTATGTGCAAAAGGAAGTGGGTAAGGTTCTTCCTGGGTCCCCCATCTTCCCCCCGCCACAACCACCACCACCACGCGTCATACTGTTCAGAAGTGTTCACGTTCTTTGAGCCTCCTAGCAGAAACGTTGCTTGATTCATCAGTCAAGTTCAGAGAAGGGCCAGCAGGAAGAGCTGGTCAAGATCAAAGCCCACATGTGTTATTGGAGGTTTGGAGTATAGATGGAAAGTGAAATCATTTCCGAATCTCTGGTTGCACTTAACTGGTAGGGACAGTTAAGTGACTCAGGTCCTCTTACTTCTTTGCAAGAGTTTGGATCTGTAAGAAAGCCCTAAAAGTTGACAGAGGTAAGCCAATAAAGACAAGTGTGCGGGAGGGTGGATCTAGCTAAAGTGGGAGTACCATGTACTCTTGTTTCACCCTTAAGGTAACCTGCTGGTATCTCTGAGTCACTGTGGATGCTTATTTTCTCTTTCTAGGGAACAAGGGGAGAAACAGGACCTGCAGGAGAAAAGGGGGTTGCAGGATGTTCAGGGGAAAGGGGGCAGAAGGTAAGAAGCTTCTGAAAATGTTACTATAAATTTTCTAGCATGTCCTCTCATTTCCGTTTCTTCTCTCTTTCATTTTCTCTCTTCAATCAATCATCTCTCTCTTTAATTACCTCTTATTTTTCTCAGCCACAGACTAATTCTGTTTCCTCATCCTCTCAAGGAATTTTGAACGTTAGTTAAATTAGTCACAATCCCTTTGTGTTTGTATAGCTAAAAACAACTAACATAATACACAATCTATACTGAGACATCCCTTCCTACTTTAACAAATCTCTGAATCTACCTTTTGTCTTTGATATGCCACTAAGATATATTTCATCTTTTACAGGGAATCATAGGCATACACGGACATAAGGTACTATAGTTTCTTTCTATCAGATTTATCCCTGATGGGATTCATTTTCCAGTGAATGTGTGACAGAGACCTCCTTTTACCTGACTGTTGTTCATTGTCCCTCAGGGAGAACCTGGAGAGCATGGGGTCGATGGGGTCGATGGGGAAGAGGTAAGTCATTTTTCTTCTGATGTTGCATTCATGTCTGTGGGTTTCAGAGGTGAATATATACATATACACATGAATTTTCTGTTCCTTGTCCTGTTTCAGGGATTTCATGGATTTCCTGGAGTAAAGGGAGAAAAAGGTGACCCAGGATCCCAGGTAACACTTTTCAGTTCATCAAAGGAGCATTTGGTGGCAGAGATGGCCTTAGTGACTGTCATCAGTGCTTTTTTGGGATAAAACTGACAAATGACTTCATCTCATAATGAGACTTCTAACCACTAAATTTCTATTTGGAGCAAATGGGAAATAATGACATTTTCCGGTATTCCTAATGACGAAGATTCAAGGCACATAATGACCATCTACTTGCATGTTTTTCTGAAATCAGAACATAAATATATTTTTCCTTTTAGTGGCTTCCATGTTATCTTTATTGTGTTAGCAAGAAAGAAAAAGTAGGAGAAAGAGACAAAGTTATTTGGCCTTGACATAGTAAACAAGTGAAACTATTTTCTTTTCTAATTTTAAATTTATTTGACACTCATGAGTATGTGCTCACTTGGTTTTAATCAACTCTATTTTTATTCTGGACTATTTAATTAGATGTATTTTCGTTTGTTCACTGTGATTTACAAAGCTGTTGATAACAAAGTTTCAGTCATTCAGTGTTTCAAATCCCAAACTAACCGACAGTATCAGCATTCCCCCGCCAGTCCTTTTACTCCTCACCTCACCTCCTTAGCAAATTCTTCTTCTTTCAGAATTTTTAAACTATATTTTTTATCACATTCTGACACTTGTGTTAACTTATGTGTATTTTTTTAAACTTCACTTAAACACCATGGTTTACAAAGTTTATCATAATACAGTTGTCCATTCAATGTTTCAACTCCAATCCCACTGCCAGAGTGATCTTCCCTCCACCATTGTCCCCATTTTCTCACCCCACCCCCAAGCTTGCCCTCTTAGCAGGCACAAAATAATTTCTTTTATATTGCTTGTTACAATTAAATGGCTAGTATCACAAAATACTTCAGTCAAAGAAAAATTGTGAAATTGTTAAATCTTACCATTGGTCCATTAAGTCCTAGTCTAAGGCTATACTAAGCTGCTTGTTACTAGTTGAGCCTTCTGTGTTATTGCTTTTGTTTATTGAGTTTAGTTAGTTTCTATATTATTTTCCCATCTAATTCGGTGTGCTCCTTTTGGAATGTCAATAGTGTGGAATTTGAAGGTGCTGTGGCCGTACATTCTAGAACTCCAGGATCTGTAGAACTGGGCATATGAATTAACATGGCATCTTCTGTGGGATGTGGGTGTGGTTGCTGGAGCTTCTGGAAGTATGGGGTGGAGCAAGGGGAGGATGCCCACTCCCATTCCAAGGCCCCAGAATTCTCAGCCTGAAAACTCAAGTACCTGGAATTTTTATCAGTTTGGTGTTTCTCCAGAGATTAGCCATCAAACAGTGGAGCTGGGCCATTGCTACAGTGGCAGTTATGATATATGGGTGTGGCAGGGATTAAACCTACTCCCTACTCCACCCCCTCCCAAGGGCGCTCCAGGGTATTCATCCAGAGACCAGTGTACTCATGAATTTTAGAGGCTTGGTTTGCATATCTTCTGAAATTTAGTCATGAATCTAAATCTAGGTGAATCGACCCGTTACTGAATTTGTCAAAAACTTCTAGAGATAAGTCAATGAAAGATCTTACACAGTAGTGGCAGTGGGGATGTGGCTGTGGTTGTGGTTGCCAGGGCTTCTGAAAGTATGGGGAGGGATAGACTGTCAGGCAGTCTGCCCCCATTCTGAGAAGACCCCAGTGACTTGTGTGATATACATGTTACCTCATCTCTACATCACTAAATGTCCATGACCCTTGACTCATGACCTTATGCTATCTCCAGTCTACCTCTTTATCAAATAAATTTTAATGCATATTACATGCCTGGTGACAGGTTATATGCTCAAGAATCAAAGATAGACACATTAGCCTGGTTCTTAAGGATTTCACAATACAGTTGTGAAGACAGAAATACACAGAGCTATTGATACCAACTAGCATTGACTGTGTTTGGGGCCAGATTGTCTGCATCTCTGTGAGAACTCAGAGAAATGCCTCTAACTCAAGAAAGAGTTCAGGATGTTTTCCTGGGGAAAATGATCCCTGAGCTAAAAATGAATTATTATTGATTAGGCCAAGACAAGGAGGAAGGGCATTCTGGACAGAGGAACCAGCAGGAAGATGTGGGAGTTTGAGGGTAATACCAATATTTCTGCCTAATAGAAGGATTACAAGTGTAGGAAGAAGGAAATAACATTCAACAGGTTGTGTGAAAAGAGGGTATGCACTGGTAAGCACCTGTAGGAGAATGTGGCTATTAGCCACTATGCTTTGGGGAGCTATTGACAGATTTATTAAGGGAGAGTTAGAAGGTGAGAATCACTATCAAATTTCCCCATTTTAGAAATATTTCTTGATAGTACCATGGAAGACATGTTAGATATGAATTTGATCCCAGGCAAAGATGAAAAGAAGGTCTATAACAGTCAAGCGGAAAGAGGAATGAATGCTTCAAGTAAAGCAACAGTGGAGAGCAGAGACAGAGACAAGTGCTGCTATTTATATATAAGATCCTGGTTTGTCCAGGCAGAGTTGAGAAGAGTTGAGTTTTCAGTGACTATGGAAATTCTCTATGGAGCTTTGTGATGATGGGTATAACTTATAGATGTCAGAAGTTGCTAGACAAGATGTGTGTGGATCTGGCTGAGGAATCCATCATCCCATTGCCAGAGTTGATTTGGCTGATCTGGCTGGCTAAGCTGGTGTCCCATTCCTCCCTTACTCCTCCATGTATGTCCCTCTTGAAACTGCATGCTCTACACCAAATAAAGAGTGTTGTGAGGATCCTCCCAGAATGGGAGAAGTATGCTGAAAGTAGTCTATAGACCAAACATGATTGCCACTCAATGCCTCTCTTGCAAAACACAGTACCCAAAAGAAGAGAGAGAGAACAAGGGGAATGCCATGCCACAGAGGAAGGGTGTGACAGGGGGGATGGGGGGTGGGAGGGATGCTGGGACCCGTGGTGGTGGAGGATGGGCACTGGTGGAGGGATGGGTACTTGATCATTGTATAACTGAAACCCAAGCACAAAAATTTATAAGTCTATAACTGTACCTCATGGTGTTTCACTAATAAAAAAAGAAATAAATAAATAAATAAAAATTGATCTTATATAAAAAAAAGAAAAAGAAACTGTATGCTCTATCAAAAACAAAGGCCTTACCCTGAATGTAGGTAGATCTTTCTTTGGTCAAAAGTATCTGAGAATCTGTGCTTTGTTGCTAGAATCTTCAACAAGCTCTCAAGAAGTTATTAGACTGACTGAAATGTCCAGTCAACTCACTACATATGACTAATTAATTCAACTTAATTAAAACAAAAATTTCTGTCCTTCATTTGTGCCAATCATGTGCTAAATGGCCATATTTTGCCCAATGGGTGCATTTGGACAGTCCAGTCAAAGAGCACTTCAATGGCAGCAGAATATTCCAGAAATCAGCTCTATATGCTAGACCATGAGAAAAGTTCCCTTTCCTCAGCCTCACCCTAGATTTAAAACTATTCTCAGTACGGCTTGAGGAGACTGAGAACACATGATTAGGAAAGAGGAAGGTGCAATTTATTTATTTGGTTTGGGGTACAATTTATTATTTGGTTTGGGGCACTCAGTAGTGCTCAGGCTTTATTTCTGGCTTTGAGCTCAGGGGACCACACGGGGTGCTAGGGATCAAGCTGGTATTGGCCACATACAAAGCGTGTACTATCCATATTATCTGTTCTGTTTCTTTTCTTTTTTATTTTTTGTTCGTTTTTTTGGTTCCACACTTAGTGGTGCTCAGAGTGTACTCCTGGCTCTGTGCTCAGGAATCACTTCTGGCAATCTGAAGATGAAATTGAAGGGCGGGATAGTCACATATGGTGCCAGGAATTGAACCAGAGTCAGTCACATGCAAGGCAGATGCATGTGACTTAACCTCTTAACCTCTCTGGTGTCTCTCCAGCACCAAGAAAGGAATAATTTGGATAGGTTTTCTCTTTCCAATTACACAGGACACTTTAATACCTTTCAATGTCCTCCTACAAGCTCACTCAGAGGTTCATTTCATTATTCTTTTTCAGGGAAGCCCTGGTTCCAGAGGTCCCCCTGGGGTACGTGGAGAGAAAGGATTCCCAGGAAATCCAGTAAGTTAGTAGGGCCCTGAGTAGGCTCTGAGCTTTATTGGGGCACCATAGATCATAATATCTTTCCCATGTATCTTCTGTTAACCTGGAGATGGATACTAGGTGTGCAACAAGATTCATATATAGATCTGTCCATATCTGAAATGATCATATTGAGATGTAAAACTTAAGCCTAAAATTCTGTTTTACTAATCCTTTAGTTGTCAGGAGCTCTTGACTTTCTTTGACAGAGAGGAGAGAATGTTCCCATGGGTTTGTTTATTGGCTTCCACTGGTAGAAATAGTCCTATTCTTCAATTAGATTGCTTATTTGCACAATCTCTTGCAAGGGAATCTTGTTACACCTTTGAGGGTGCAGCATTGCATGTCATGTTCAGGCCAGTTTAGCTGTGAAGTTTTCTGTAGATCAGGGAAATCCCCACAGCTTCAGCAAGCATTCTGATAATTCCCCACATACCAATGACTCCTCCAAACTCAGGGAAGCATACTTCTTGTTTCCACAGAAATAAATGTGCTTCCATGATGGAGAATTTTCTCATACTCCTTAGCCCATAACCTGTATTTGGACATTGTACCTTCTTTCAAAAATAAAACAAAAAAAATCTATAAATAAAGATGATTTTTTTATTCTAAAATGCATTTTAATTCTTCCTCTAGGGTGAACCAGGAAGAGACAGTCCCATCAAAGGACAAAAGGGCTCCAAAGGAGAACAAGGCAGACAGGTAATTGGGTCCCTTTTCCATATGCAAGTTGATGAGGTCTTGTACTGATCTGAGGCTCATATAATTTAAATCACTGTATCACTGTCATCCTGTTGTTCATCAATTTACTCAAGCGGGTACCAGTAACGTCTCTATTCATCCCACTGTAAGATTTTAGCAGTCTCTCCTTACTCGTCTTTCCCAACAATTGGAGGCTCTTTCAGGGTCAGGGGAATGAGACTTGTTATAGTTACTGGTTTGGGCATATCTAATACACCATGGGGAGCTTCCCAGGCTCTGTCAGTGTGGACAGGATACTCTCAGTAGCTTGACAGACTATATGAGAAACATGTATGTATATATATATTTTTTTTCTCTCTATGATTTGTTGCCTACTGTCTGAACTCCATCAAACATGGTGTGGTAATTATGGAAAATGGGTAAGAAGTGTCTTATGATGTGTCGCATGGCTGCAAAGTGGCCATGCGGTTTGGAAAGCGTCCTGGAGCATGGCGGTAGTTGGGTTGTGGAGGTCGACTGCCAGGGCTGGGTCACTTGGGGCGGGGAGGGCTCTCACCTTCCCCCCTCTGGGGTGCCCCTGGTAAAAACAGCCTGGTGTGCAGTCCTCATAATTTAAATGATGTGGTAAAATGCATTACTGTTCTATGATTGAGAAAAAAAAAACTTCCAATCAGTCTCTTTTTATTTACTTAATGAATCACTATGAGATACAGTTACAGACTTTAAAACTTTTGTGATTACATTTCAATCATGCAATGATTGAATACCCATCCCTCCACCAGTGCCCATTCTCCACCACTAATGTTCCCAGCATCCCTTCTGACACTCCCACCCCATTCCCCCAACCCCCGCCTCTGTTGCAGGCACATTCCCTTTTACTCTCTCTCTCCTTTTGGGTGTTATGGTTTGCAATACAGGTGTTAAGTGGCCATCATGTTCGGTTCAGTCTGTAAAGGAACTCTATATCCTGAGAATAAGTCTGCAGAGGTAACCTTTCTCTGGTCACTTGCTGCATTTCTCTGAGAATGATTCATGGAAAACTAGAGTAGAAGTGCATGGTACTCTTCCCTAATGCTCTTGAGTGCTCCTGAGTGGAATATGGTTACTATTTAGCCCTGGTGTTAATATGAGAAAAGATTGCAAAGTGACATATTATTCTGATGATTTACTAGTGCTGAAAGTTTGATGCTGATGCCTTTGGTAATTTATTCAGAATCTTTGGCCTGATTTTGGGGAAATGATTGTATTTCTAGGGTAGAACCGGCCAGAAAGGGGCAAACGGCAGCCCTAATTCCAGAGGAATGAGGGTAAGTATGCTCATGGCACTGATTTCTCTTCCCCACCACTTAGACATGCCACAGAGATTTCAGAATATTTTTCACCACAGAGTTGGTGTTCCAGGGCTCAAGTATCAGTACTGATGTAGGATCCTGTGAATTGGAGGGTGGCTAGCAGCAGCTGTGGTGTCTGCCCTCAACCAGCAGCTTTGGTCTCAGGAGGTACATTTGAACACATCTACAGACACTGCCACATATCTGTAGAGACAAATGGGGGTGGAAACAATATTGCTCCTGGTTGAAAACCACTGTAATACAGTTCGTTATACCTTCTAAAAGTTTTGAGGATGTTCAGAGAGAGGAAGTGACTATAAAAAGAAAGCTCCCTCCAACAGTCTAGCACTTCAGAACTTTGTAAAACTATGATGATGTAGATAAACCTATTCTCTTATGCTATGTTGCCTATAAGGAAGAAGAATCCTGGTAACTTCTTCCTGAATGCAAGTATGCCACTAGGTTCAAGCCAGTAGCAATCGCGAGATCCTGGGATAACTTTCTAGCACCCCATGTGCTGTCAAGCTGAACACTGGGCAACTGGGTGACCCTTTGCTTTAGGAAACAACCAGAAAGTCTCTACCCTCTTTGCGGACTATGAGAGAACATAATTATTATGTGTTAGAAACCCTCTGATTACACATCCAACAATTAAATTATTTAAAAAGAGAATAATAGATGCTGTCCTCGGCTTGGTCCTGAGTTTTGATCAAGAGGAAACAGCATACATTTGCCTTTCTCTTCTGCACATACTCACTTGGAGTCTTCTCATGCCTTTGAAGGTAGCAAGTGATTTTTGTCTCTCTCCAGAACAGATAGTGAAGAAATGTCTTAATTCCTCTTGACTATGTTTGTCATAAATCATAGTTCTTCAGGGAAAGGATCTACAAACTAGTGACTTATACTTTCTCTCTCTTTCTCCTGCTTCTGGTCAAATTCTTTGGGAGCTGGCCCTCTTCCCCACATGAGGGAATTAAAATTAATCAGAGGAAGAAGGAGGAGTAAACAGATTAGCTAAATGCCATAAATTTTAAAGATAAATCTGTGGTTTTTGGCTTAAGAGAATAGCATACTTTTACTTGGAAGTTGCTTTATAGCTGTCACATCAATCAGGCACTTTTTAAGAAGAGTAGCTCAGGACAGAGTAGGGATTAATATGAGAAAGACCAATGGATCATTAGTCATCACTCATTTCTCTGTCTCTCCCAGGCTCTCAGCCACCCCTACCCATCTCCTCCTTTGTCATCTATTTTCTTCTACATCAAACAAGGAAATGGGGGTATAAAATAATAGCAAGTTTTTTTAGTCTCTGAGGAAGGTCAGAATTCTTTTTGAGGATCAGTGAATCTGAAGGAGTGGCACATTCTAAAAACACGACAAACCTAAGTTGTGTTCTATATAGCAAAATTTTAGTTCTTGTAAGTGAATTGTTGTACCAGCTGTTGCCAAAAACATACCTCCCCCCTCAAAGGGTCCATAAACTGAAAGCCAGAGAGTTCTTGAAAACATCTCTGGGTCCTTTGCGTCTGTCTTCCACGAGGAAAGAATTTATCCTTCTGGAGCTTCTGTTTTGTTCCACACCCTGATCACATCACTTCTAAGTATTATCCTCATAACATATAAGACAGGTACAACTTTCCTGTCACTTCAGAGGTAAGAAACACCAGGAGACTTAGGGCAACTTGCCCAGGATCAGGGGTGGCTAGTGGTGGAGCTGGGTTTAAATTCAGATGGTTCCCTCTAGAGTCTGAACATCCCTGTGCCATGCTCACACAAGAGCCAGTGACACCAGGATTTATACATAGAGGTTGGCCTCAGATTGCCTGACTCCTAACAGTGTATCCCTGACCCATGTGATCTACTGCCTGAACAGGGAAAATATTAGCTTCAGGAGCACAATGACTCAATAATATTTGTGTATCTTGAGAATTTGTCATTGTAATAAGTCTCCATCACATCCACTGCATCCTTACTTTTAAATCAAGAGAAAATTAGGACATTGGGAAACTGGCTGACAATTCCTCACTGCTCGGCTAGGTCTGTAGAAGCTCTGTTAGTCCCCTCAAGGTACAAGCTACCAACAAGTTGCAGCTGGCAAGCTTTTCCCTAGGGAGTATGCACATTTTTCAACAGCAGAGTATCTGAACAGAGGGGCAGAAGAATTTCAATAGAACTTTTCAGCCAAGTTGCAGGAGGTAATATTTGGTCAAGTAGGGTTTTTTGTAAATAAATAACTTTAGAAAGAAAAAGAGGCTCTGAAGCATTGACAGGGTTACCTTTTGGAATTGAATGAGTGAAAAAAAATGGGGAGAGAACACACACGTTTCTGGGGCTTGTGCTTTGCATGTGTAAGACAGCAGTTCCACAGTTCAATCTGCCACACCATATGACCCCCCCATACCAGTGGTCATAGCCCTGAAGGCCCCCCAGCACCTGCTGGATATGGCGCTGGAAGCCCCCATCCCCCCAGCACCTTAAGGAGCACCACATTCTTGGACCCTGACATGTGACCATGGGGCCAAGTAGTTCGAGTATCTCCAAGAGTCAACCCCAGGCTATTGAACATTGCTTGGGATCCTATTTTGTTGTTGTTGTTGTATGTGTCTGTTTTGTGCCTAAAACAACCATAAGTTGTTTATCACAACACAGAAGAGATCAATGGCTGACATATTCCCTTACATCTGTCAGAGAGGTAGGAGAAGGTGTGAGCACAGGTTTTACTGTTACTGTTTCAGGAAGGAGAAGTTAGGATCTGGGGTCTAGAACATCTTTCAGCTGTTCTCTAGAAAGAGGTCGTTCGCCAAGAAGGCCACTGGGTGGCGACTATGAGTTGGATGCCTGCACCCACCTCTGGATATGTACCTGTGAATTTCCCTCTAGCCTTCAGCTGGACTTCGTTCAGATAAACCTGATGGTTCAACTAGGAATGAATTGGACAGACCCCATCATCCTGATTCTCCACATGAGGAATTCCATGGAAACAAAGCACGTGATGGTGCTTAATGAAAACACTATCTCTAACAATTTTTACTCTCCCCTAGGATGCTATCAGGGTCCAGGCCAGAGAGAGGGGTAGGAGTGGTCCAGCTTGTTCTCACACAAAAGGCCTCCAACCAGCAAACATTGGTTTTGTGGGTCTAGCACAGAGAGAAACAGAAAAGACAGTCTTCTGGGTGGTTGCAATCTCCAAACAGCCTCCCAAGTCACTGTCATGGACTTTGGTGACTTTCCAAATGTTTCTTTAGTCAGCCCCACCAAATATGAGGCATCAATGAGAGAGGAAGGGATAGATGTGAGTCCAGGAGTGTTTGAGGAGGGTGGGAGGGGGTGGTGGCAATTGGGTCACACCCGGTGAAGCTCAGGGGATGACCCAAGGTGGTGCTTGGGGGACCATATAGGATGCTGGGGATAAAACCCGGGTTGACTGCATGCAAGACAAACGCCCAACTGGCTGTACTATCTCTCTAGTCCCTGTGAGTACAGGTTTTATTGTTGTTATTTTAGGAAGGTTAAGTTTTTAATACCCTGTGTGGAAACGTGGCTTTGGAACATTGAGAGGGAAGCCATTTCTGTCAGCTTCCTCAGTCCCCATCCCCTCACCCCCACAAGGGTCTGAAAGGCGAGTGAATGACATGTCCCTGAGGACCCTCCCTCCTGTCTCCTGCATGCTCACATCTTGGCCTTTTCTGTTCCAGGGAAGAGAAGGCCAAAGGGGGAACCCAGGTGCCCCGGTAAGTGTCCTATATTTCCTGTCCTTTGTGGGAAGTGGATTCACAAGAGATATTCCCATGCAGAGAGCAGTGGGAAGGAAGGAGCACTTGGCAGGTTGTTGTAGGAAGTTGGGAGCATGATGGAGGGGAAATACACAGATCTCTCAGTTCAGCGGCCAGGAATAGTCTGGCCTGACAAAAGCAAGGCCTCTTCCTGGACACTGGGACAGGAGGACCTGTGTGATCCCAGCTGCATTGGCCCATTTGTAAAGCATAAGTATGCTGGACAGCTTGACAGAGAGAATCTGAGAGATCAACTCTGTATCCCATAGAGAAACAATTTTTTTTATCCATTTTTTTTCTTTTTGGGTCACACCCAGCGAAACACAGGGTTACTCCTGGCTCTGCAGTCAGGAATTACTCCTAGCGGAACCATATGGAAATCAAACCAGGGTTGGCTGCGTGCATGGCAAGCACCCTATCCACTGTGCTATCACTCAGGCCCCTTTTTATGCATTTCTCAGCAATTGAGGAAGAAGCAAAATTCAAGGCAAAGTAGAAGCTGTAGAACTGTAGCACTGTCCTCCTGTTGTTCATCAATTTGCTCGAGCGGGCACCAGTAATGTCTCACAACAAATTGTGAGACTTGTTGTTACTGTTTTTGGCATATTGAATATGTCACAGGTAGCTTTCCAGGCTTTGCCGTGCTGGCAAGATACTCTTGGTAGCTTGCCGGGCTCTCCGGGTGGGGTGGAGAAATAGAACCCAGGTTGGTCATGTCGGCTACATGCAAGGCAAACGCCTTACCTGCTGTGCTATTGCTCCAGCCCAGACAAAATAGTGCCTGTATACTTTGTTCTACAATACTGAGTTCTAGAAGGAGAAAACCTAAGTGGTAATTATATGAAAAAAAAATACTTACACTGAAAACTTGTGCTTCAGGGGGAGCCAGGAAGTCGTGGACCAAAAGGTGAACTCGGAGCTGAAGGATTACAAGGCCTGCAGGTGTGTTGGAATAGTTCACAAATATTAAAACTGATGCTGAGTTATTCAAATGGGAGTATCGCAGATACTTTCATATAAAAGTAAATAACAGTGAAAGTTTCTTGTTTGTCCCTTTGGTTTTTTAATCTACCCAGATCACCTCTTTACTGTCTCTGAAATTCTATATTTCTCACTGTGGGTGTGTGCTTTGGACCCATCCATCAAACCCTTGTCTACAATGGCAGCTCAGTGAGAGCAGATAGGCATGCTCTTATGCTTACCAGGAACTGGGTCTGCAGGAATTGGTAAATATTAATTAATAATCAATTATTAGTCAGGAATTATTAAGACCTAATGTTATATAAGAAATCAATACCCGGATCAACAAATCAGTTTTCTTTACCTGAGGCCCTGCACAGAGAGCTCCATGAAGGAAATCTAGGATTAGCCGCTCATTAATTTTGAAATTGAAATTGAAAGGCCCTCCCATTGAGCGGGCCCAGTAACGTCTCCATTGGAGACTTTGTTGTTACTGTGTTTGGCATATCGAATACTCTCGGTAGCTTGCCGGGCTCTCCGAGAGGGGCGGAGGAATCGAACTCGGGTCGACCATGTTGGCCGCTTGTAAGGCGAATGCCCTACCGCTGTGCTATCGCTCCAGCCAGCTAATTTCAGAGGGAATGATAGTATATCAGGGAACACTACTTATGGGTTTTTATGTGAGCTCTTAGTACTTCTTGGTTATTCCATCAATGATAGGAACTCTCTGCCATATCTAAAAGATGCTGGAGTGATACCCAGTGAATGACTCTGTAACATGTGGGTAGTCACCTTAGGGAGTCTAGAGCACTAATAGGAAGAGGAATTTGGGATTATGTTAGGGGTTCAGTGGTCCCTGAAACCACGGCACGCTCCAATAGATCCTCTCAATTCGGTGACCCAGGGGATCATTCTAGCTTCGCCCTTAGGCTTTCGTGAGAGAGCATGACATTATCTCTACTCAGATAGAATCCATTTAGTGCTTGGTCAGTTAGTAGCCCAGTGGCTCACTCACCTTCTGTTCCCAGAATCCAGAAACACTTAGCCACCAGAGCCTTGGAATCCAGAAATATTACTTGCACGTCTGTTTTTCCCCCTCTGTATGCAAGAATCAAGCATTTGATAGTAAATATGACAGAAAAATATTAAATTCCTTCGATGAGGGTAGCACTGTAGCACTGTCCTCCTGTTGCTCATCAATTTGCTCAAGTGGGCACCAGTAACATCTCCATTGTGAGACTTGTTGTTACTGGTTTTGGCATATCAATACGCCATGGAGAGCTTGCCAGGCTCTGCCCTGCAGGCTGGATACTCTTCGTAGCTTGCTGGGCTCTCTGAGAGGGACGAAGGAATCGAACCGTGCTGTGCTGGATGGTTAGAAATACCCATTTGTGCTTCATTGGAGAGACTTTGCTCTGTTTTATCCATAGTTAAATACTTTGAGCCAGGTAGCCTGTAAAGGAATGCATCTGGCCACAGTGGATGTCTTATCTCATCTTACAATGGGTCTTATTCCTGCTCTTGTCCCTTTCTTGTTTCTCCCAGCAGAAGAGCTGGAGTGATAGCACAGCGGTAGGGCATTCGCCTTACAAGCGACCAACATGGCCGACCCGAGTTTGATTCCTCCTCCCCTCTCGGAGAGCCCGGCAAGCTACTGAGAGTATTTGATATGCCAAACACAGTAACAACAAAGTCTCCAATGGAGACGTTACTGGGCCCGCTGGAGCAAATCGATGATCAACGGGAGGGCCTTTACCTTTACCTTTACCTTTACCCCAGCAGAAAGGGTGAATGAAGGTCTGATACTCCCATGGGGAATCCTTCTGTAAAATCTGTGCCACTGAGTCTGGGTCTTCCCTCAATTCCTGGTCTAAAATCATGCCTTAGTTTCAGCTAGTTAAACCACTTGAAGGACTGGACTACTGCTTTTCTAGTGGAGTGGGTGTTTTAAAATATTTTTAAGTGAAGTAAGTTTTCTTTTCTTACCATAAAAGGGACCGCGTGGACCTGATGGGAGGAAAGGAGAGAAGGGAGGTCACGGACACAAAGGGCCTCAGGTGAGTACCAAGAATATTAGTCAACGCTCTCCAATCTCAATGTCCGCTCCCTGCCAAACATCTCTGCAGGGAGCATTTCAGCTTTACATTAACTGAAGAGAAAATTGCAGCAAGGCTTATATTTTCTGTACATTGCTTAGATATTTTTCTTCTTTACTGGGGTTGTATCATGAAAAACACAGACCCATTTCACCGGCCTGAAGAAAACATTTGGAAAAATCAACCAATCCTTCCCAAACCTTTAAAAACATGATTATTATTTTTTTTGATCATTATTTTTTATACAATTAACAATCATCATTTTATTCTTGCTACAAAATTCTCTAAGAAAATGTACTGTAGCAGTCTAGAATAAAGCAAGACTTTTAACCCAAGTACATAATATAAATCTTGAAATACTTATAGTTGATTACAATAATTTTCAGGAAAATTTCAAATTCTATCAGGACTGCAGTTTGAGATATAGAAACAGGACTGAGAAATTAAAAGGTATATATTTATCCTTAAATTGTCTAAAAATATAAAAGATTTTAATACCTTTGGAAAGGCATGGGAACATATTTTATGAATAGAAGATAGTTCAAAGTTAACTATACTAGAGGTGTAAGGATTATAGATGAGCCCGTTGGTTAAGTCTCTGTCCTCTGTGGCTTATTCATTCATCAATGAATATTATTTTGTTTTATCTTTAAAAAAAACTTTTCTATGTCCCATTGACTTAGTATTTGAAATTGATACCTCCAAGATCCCTCACTTCAAAATTTTTCTCTTGACTTCCTCTTTAATCCCTTTTGTTGAATCTGTTGGGTTCCCGAGTTTCTGAGAATGGCCGATGGATGGTGAGAGGTTCATAAAACTATGGTGGGTCTCTTCAGTTCTTTCGCTCAGACAACAGGACCTTAAGAGGAGTCCATAACCTTCCTAGCATGGTAGAAACATTTTTTCCCATTTTCAGTCAGGGACACCAAATCAATCTCTCTTACCTTTTTTTCTTTTCTTGATGACACTGGGCATAGGAGCAGCAATGACAGGACACAGTGCCATACTCACACTGGAGGGCATCGCCCTTCACTCCACCATTCAGCAGCAGTGAGTCCAAATCCTGTTTATCACTAAGTCATGTTTGGATGAGTGATGTCCCTCCTGACATCTACTGAGGGCCGCAGCCTGAGTCTTCTGATTTCAGCCCAGCTGTCTCTTCCTTGAAAGGAAATATCAGTGAATTGTTAGGCAAGATAATGAAGAAAATCAGAAGGAATCAGGTGGCTATTTTTAAGAAATGTGCAGCACCAAATTCGCATCTCCCATTTTCTTATAGGGTTCTCCTGGTCCCCCGGGGCTGAAAGGAAGCATTGGAAGTCCCGGAGCTTTGGGGAAAAAAGTAAGCGTGATTTCTTACAGATTTTGAATGCAGAGTGTGAAGATGAGTACCAATATTTTCTTGATTTCGTTTGATTGAATCCAGACACTATTAAACGCCCACCAGCTTTCTGTTAATACCTCCTTTTCCTTCCATTGAGTCAGTTTCCAGCTGCTCCTGGCTCTGAAAAGGCCTTGAATCAGTAGGAGAGGCAGTCCTGACCCACCGTGAAACAGCTGAACAATGTCTTCACTGGCTGCTCTCAGAAATGTAAAAAAGACTCCGTACATGGTGGTCAGGACTGAAACCTGGTTGTATGTATAGTTCTCAAGCTCGCCATCACTGGGGTGACTGTTTGGAATTGTCAGAGAAAACTCTTAGCCTTTTCAAAATCTCTCTTCCCTGCCTAAAACCCTCCACTGATTCCTCTTCAGGGCCACTGAAACTGGTTCCCATGCAAACACAGTGTCCAGGCTTAGAAAGGTCCATGTTTTAGTGCTCTGCAATCATCTTATAAAGTCTTAACTTTTTGTCTTTTTTTTAATTGAATCACTGTGAGATATAGTTACAAGCTTTCATGTTTGAGTTACAATCACACAGTGATCAAACACCCGTCCCTCCACCAGTGCACATTCCCCACCACCAATATCCCCAGTATATCCCCCTTTCCCACCCTCCCCCTGCCTCCATGGCAGACAATTTCCCCCATACTCTCTCTCTACTTTGGGGCATTCTGATTTACAATACAGATATTAAGAGGTTATTATGTCCCCTCCTCTTAATATTTGAGGAGGCGACCTATGCTATGATTTTTACACCGAATCCCACAAATTATGTAGCTGATCTTAACTTCTCTATGAGCCACAGGAAAGCCTTCGACCTTTGAAGTACCTTCCAAGGCCCGTTGCTGTGGACCATATTTTATTTGAGTAGGGTTTTGTTGCTCATCTTCCTCCCCAGGCTTTCGGCCAGTATCTTCCCTCCACTGGCATCCTTCTCCCTTCCACTCTGTTCTTCTAGCACAGGACAGCTCATCCTGGAGCTCAGCATCCTTGCATATCACTCTCGAGTACCTACCTCTCGGTCCCTGCTCTTGAGTCCCATAGCACCCTGAACTTTATCACATGTTTATAATTGCCCATACAATAGTCTCTCTTTCTAATCAGGCTATGTTTGGTCATGATAAAAATCTATCATGTTCCAACAGTTTATTTTCCAGGATAATCCAACACTACTGCCTAGGGAAATGAAACCACTTTTCCTGTAGTGAATTTCACTCCTTATGTCTTCTCTAATGCTGGGAAAGCTGTCTTGCCTCCATGCCTGGCTGTGTCCATGCCTTTTTGTTATGGACAGACCCATATTTGTTTGCTACCTTCCAACTCAAAGCATCAAACCTTCTTTAAACCTCATGCCTCCTCCTCTAGTGGACAGAACTTTCTATGTGGGGGAACCAGGTCTGACTTTTTGGAACTAAATCTCTTCTGTCTCACTCACTAGGGAGAACCTGGAGTTCTTGGGAATCCAGGGCCGTTGGGGCAAATGGGACATCGAGGAAAACAGGTAGGGGATTTGAGAGCTCTTCTCTTTTCACAACATTCCAGTTGCTCTATCCTAAGGTAGCTGGAGGGGGTTGTCATACCTTCCTACTAGGGACCTGCAGGAACATACGGGGTATTGCACTCCTTGCTAGTCTGTTCCAGTGAGAGGAGAAAAGGGCCTGCAGAGAGGATTGTGGGTAAAATTGAGCAAGGTCTTCTGATGTTGTAACAATCATATGGTGGTGTGTCTTTCAGCTGAGGTCAGCATTGCCCAGTTTCCACTTCTTGCAGAAATCACAGGAGAAAGTGGAAGACAGGGAAAGTATGGAGAAATGAGGCTTCTGTTTGGGTTATTTTGGCTGCACTGGGTTCTCAGTCCACGAAGGAGCCTATAGAGAGATTTTTCAAATTTATGTTTAAAAAAATGCCTTTAAATGTTTTTATGCACAATAGTACTGTAGAAAATTTGCCAGGCATGAAACGGTGAGAAATAGGGATTGAAAGAAAAAACCAACAGCCCCACTAAATTAAAGTGCTTACTATGAATGTAAAAAAAAAAGTAAAGGCCCTCCTGTTGATCATCGATTTGCTCGAGCGGGCCCAGTAACGTCTTCATTGGAGACTTTGTTGTTACTGTGTCTGGCATAACGAATACGTCACGGGGAGCTTGCCAGGCTCTGCCGTGCGGGCGAGATACTCTCGGTAGCTTGCCAGGCTCTCCGAGAGGGGCGGAGGAATCGAACTCGGGTCAGCCATGTTGGCTGCGTGCAAGGCAAACGCCCTACCACTGTGCTATCGCTCCAGCGCAAAGTCACTCTTTTTTTCTTCTGAACTAGATGTCATGAGTGTATTTTTGCATCATTACTCTTTCCTTTCAATATGATCTTTTCAACATTGATATTTTTATTGAGGTGACACTGACCAGACCTTAATGTTCTCTTAACAATTTCAAAAAGTTGAATGAATATATAGACTTTTAAGTTCATTTGACCAATGTCTTGTTATCGAATATTAAAGTTTTTTCTGGTCTTTTTTTGGGCTGGAGGGGGCGGGAGGTCATAAATAGCACAACAATGGGCATTTTGGTGTCTTGGTTTCATTTTTATACAAGTCAAAATTAATTTTCACATAGAAAAATTTTTCTTTTTTTTGCTTTTTGGGTCACACCCAGCGATACTCAGGATTTGCTCCTGGCTCTGCACTCAGGAATTATTCCTGGTGGTGCTCAGGGAGAACCATATGAAACACTGGGAATTGAACCCGGGTCGGCCACGTGCAAGACAAATGCCCAACCCACTGTGCTATCACTCCAGCTCCACAAGCTACCTGTGATGTATTCAATATACCAAACACAGTAACAAGTCTCACAATTTGTTGTGAGATGTTACTGGTGCCCGCTCGAGCAAATCGATGAACAACAGGAGGACAGTGACATAATATATGGGGCTGGAGCGATAGCACGGTGGTAGGGTGTTTGCCTTGTGTGCAGCCAGCCCGGCCGAGCCGGGTTCGATTCCTCTGCGCCTCTCGGAGAGCCCGGCAAGCTATCGAGAGTATATTTGCCTGCAATATATTCAATATCCCAAACACAGTAACAACACGTCTCAAAAAAAAAATGGAGACATTACTGGGCCCACTTGAGCAAATTGATGAACAATCAGAGGACATAATATATAACGTGGCTGAGAAAAAATATTTAATGAACTGTTTTGAATTCTATTGCTATGTGGCTTTAGTAGGATTCATATGCTCAGTGCACCGAAGTATTCTGAGAGTGCTTAGCTCAGGGCATTCACACCAACAATGGGCATTACCACTTTCTGATTTTTATCTTTATAGTTTTGCTTTAAAAAAAACTAGTACCTCATTATTTCAAATAGCACTTCCTTAGTTACTAGTGAGAATGAGCATTTTTCCTTATGTCTGTTGGCCATTTATAATTCTTCTTTAGAGATTCTTTCTCTACTTGTTTTGGATCACCTTCAAATTTTCCAGGCAGTTCCTGCCACTGACTCCACAGGTCTTAAATAACCAAAGACCCCTCTACCTCCTAAAATGTTTGCAGAATAGGGCTGGCAAGAAGTACCAGGGTATATGCCAGGAAATGGGGAGAACCAGTCACATTCTTGTTCCTGGAGTTCCCAATGTTCCCAACCACAAATGGGGGTCTCCCCTTGGCAGTCCCAAGAACTTCTGTCCTGACACATTGATATCCCCAGGGATTACCATTAATTTTCACTCTTAAGGAATTCACAATAACTGGTCTATTCACAGGGAGATGATGGCATCCCACGTTATGGTCAGAAGGGCCGAAAAGGAATAAAGGTAAATATGACAATCAATCACTTGTTTTGGTTCAAATCTAAAGAATGCAAGAATTTATGGCTGCACTGCAGAAGGGATGTGTTGATTTTGATTTTTTTTCTCTAATTAAACTAACAGGGTCCAAGAGGATTCTCTGGAGAGATGGGGGAAAAGGTATTGTGCTCATGACTTTCTTTTGAAATAACTAGAGTCTCAACCATCTACTTGAGAACTGAGATTAAGCTATAGATCCGAAAAAAAAATGGAATCCTTCCACCACCCATAACAATAATAAAATGTGAAGAAAGGGCCATATTTATTTTTGATGCTTGGACGGTTCCAAGAATCTTTCTGGATTTCTCTGCTTAGGTCAGATGCAAAACTCTTGACTTTGCTGTGACTGTCAGTTCTCTTTCATCATTCTTCACCTGAATCTTTGCAGTATCCTTTTCATTTGTCTCCTAATTCCATCTTCTCCCTTCTTAGGGCTGGAGCGATAGCACAGCGGGTATGGCGTTCGCCTTACAAGCGGCCAACATGGCCGACCCGAGTTCGATTCCTCCGCCCCTCTCGGAGAGCCCGGCAAGCTACCGAGAGTATTCAATATGCCAGACACAGTAACAACAAAGTCTCCAATGGAGACATTACTGGGCCCGCTCGAGCAAATCGACGATCAACGGGAGGGCCCTTCTTAGGTTAATCCCAAATACTATTTGATATCACCCAAAAATTTACTTGATTGTTCCCTCCCCCCCGCCAAAGCATAGCCCAATCATGTTACTTATTGATCAGGTATCTACCAGAATTTCTCATTGCCTACTCAGTTGAAACCCATTTTGAAGCTCTGCAAATGTACACTTCTATTTCAACCAGAGTAGTTCCTGTGGTGCCTGTTTTATACCCTGGAATTCTGTAAGGAGATTTTCTTTTAAAATAAGAAAAAAGTTTCCTAGCCATAACAGTCCCTTCTATGAAGTTGATACTCAAAATACAAAAAGTGGGTAGGGCCAGAGAGAGTACAGGAACTAACGTGCCTACCTTGCAAACCCTGAGTACCAAGTGGAATGAACTTGATCATAGAGCCAGCAGTAGTCCCTGAGCACATTCAGGTGTAGCCCACTTGCCCAAGTTATTATTAAAAAAAATTTTAAATGGAAAATTTATTAAGTAAAGTAAATCATTTATAGAAAAATAAGCAATTTGTAAGTATTCGTTCTTTTTTCTTCTGTTTTGGGAGGCATAGCACTGTAGCACTGTCCTTCGGTTGCTTATCGATTTGCTCGAGCAGGCACCAGAAACGTCTCCATTGTGAGACTTGTTGTCACTGTTTTTTGGCATATCGAATAGGCCACAGGTAGCTTGCCAGGCTCTACTGTGAGGGCAGGATACTCTCGGTAGCTTGCCAGGCTCTACCAAGAGGGATGAAGGAATCGAACCTGGGTCAGCCGCGTTCAAGGCAAACGCCCTGCTGGTTGTGCTATCGCTCCAGTCAGCTACTCTTGGCTATGCTCTGGGGCTATTCCTGACAACACTTGAGGAGGTCCAAGCAGAGTTAGAGATAAAAAATCCTTACCTACAGCATGCAGAACATGTACTCAGGCTATTGAGCTATCTTTCCTGTTCTTAGCTGTTTTGAATGATGAGCTAACCAAAAGTATTTTCCTGCCTTTGGTAGAATAGAAAAACACAATGGTTGCAGCAAAATGACTATCAGAATACAAAGTTTCATTGGAGAATGCCACTTTTCTCATTTACTGAAAATTCATTGTTCATTTGTAGACAAGTTTGAAATTAGCATATTGATAAATAGCTGCTATGATTACTTTCTCACCAAATACATTTCTCCTTACCTTACACTGTCAGAAATGATTTGTGAGTTAGGAAGTAATTATTAGGGCCAGAGAGTACAGCAGGCAGGGCTGTTGCCTTGCGTGCAACCAACCCATGTTCAATTCCAGGTACTATGTATGTATATATATAATGTTTAATATGTTATATAGTTATATAAAATATATAAGATAAATTTCATTTTGTACTGGAGAAAATTATTTTGTACTTTTTTGGGGGGTGGACACATCCAACAGTGCTCAGGTCTTCCTCCTGGCTCTGCACTCAGGGATTGGTCCTGCAGGCTCAGGGAGCATATGGGATAAGGAATTAACCTGGGATGGCCAAGTGCAAGGTAAACACCCAACCTACTCTACTATCACGCTGACCCTTATTTTTATACTTTCGTAGCAAATATTTTAACATTTTGATTTCTTATGTCTGAATCTTTAGGGTGGTATTGGTGATCCTGGAGCTCCTGGGGTAACCGGACCCAAGGGATTTAAGGGACTGGTGGTAAGTCATCAGCAACTCTAGAACTAATAAGTGTTTCTTTGGGAGGCTTTAGCTTTTCCGTTGCAGTGATAAACATGGATTACAGATCCAACCCAAGAACACCTAAAGTACCACTTTTTAGCTCTGGGCCACCTTTTCAGGGTCCCTACTTCTATAACATGAGAGTTGAACTGTATGAACCTAAAATCCCTTTAAGCTCTAAAGGTCTCTGCTTCCGCGAATCTCTTTTGAAGATTTTGAGACTGATAACTGACTGCTCCAAGAAATGTCAGGGCTTTCCAGGCTTTTCTAAAGTACACAGTAAATCTCTAATTCTAACACCCTTGAGTGGAAATGTAGCTACTCGCTTCCTATTGCATCCTTGAGAATTTTCTGACAGTTGCAGGACCCATAACCAAGGTCATATGCAGTATTCATGTGAGGGAATGCTGTTGAGATCTTTTAATTGACCAAGTGCACAGTAGAATAGTGTTAGACTTGTTTAGAAACAAACTGCTGAGACAAGCATCCTTTCATTTTAAAATTCAAGTGTGATATCAGTGGTCATTATCAGTGTGAAAGAACTGTAATTCAGCATCTTCTTTCCATCTGGCTGGATAAATTTAATTATCATCATATCCATCACCTTGAGCTATGGGAATGACAACCCCATCCATGTCTCAGATGTATGTGTGAAAATTTTTTTCTTATTTGATCCTTTGTAGATAGGAGGGCTTTTTTTAAAAAAAAAAATTAGAACTCTGTGTTCCCTTGCTATATTTTCTTTTTATTTTATTTTTATATGCATACATGGATAATTTCTGAAAAATCACAGAAAAGAAAAATAGCAGGCAATCAATATGCTGCCTTTTCTTTAACCAGACTTATAAAAACAACCAATACTAAAAAATGACCAAACTTGGCCTCTAGCAATTAATGCTGATTATATATTGTATCCAGAGAATTCAATTGTTAAAAACATATATAAAGTATGTATATTTTCATTTTTAAAAAATGCAATCCCTTCCAGGAGTGATCCCTGAGTGCAGAGCCAGGAGTCAGCCCTGAGCATCACCAGGTGTGACCCCCTCCTCTAGAAAGAAAAAAAAGAAAGCAATTCTAGTTTGTGATTGATTTAGATTTTAAATCGATCCAGAACCACAAAAAAAATATAAAAAGAAGAGGCTAAGAGAGAAATGGATGTTTACCAATTAGTAAGAATGAACAGGGTTTATTATAAGTAAGCAATTTACTTGAATTAATAGGTGCTTTCTCAAAATTTAAATGTGTGTGTGTGTGTGTGTGTGTGTGTGTGTGTGTGTGTGTGTGTGTGTCCCTGGATCACTGAGGTGGAAACTAATGCATATTTCTGTCTGCAGCATGTGACAGGCTCCAAAGGTGAACCAGGATCTCGGGGAAGCCCCGGCCCTCCAGGTCGGAAAGTAAGTATGCTCATGAGAACAATAGTTTATGTTGTTTTCTAAAATGTTCAGTGGAAATAACACAGGAATTAAAGTAGATGCATGGGGGTTGCAGTGCAAACTCTACTTTTGGACTCTGATAGCCCTAACCCTGATTCTAACCCTAATTCACGGCCCAGTCACTGGGTCTCTCAGTCTCAGTGTGTGTTCAAAAAAATGAATGAGTGAGGCAGAGGTGTAGTCTCTACCCTGCCACATGTATTCATTCGGTGGCCAAAAGCCACTTCCCCACCACCCCACCCTGCAGCTGCAGTCAACAGTCACATGAAGGAGGAAACAGGGCTGCAGGTTGGTGATCAGTTGTCGCTTATTCCGTTCTCTCCAAGTGCCTGTTCCAGTCTTACCAAACGCCCCATTCCAGTCTCACACTGCCCCTCATTCCCATCTCCTCCTGTTCCCCATGCTACTTTCCCTGTACCCAGTCTTGCTGCCTTGATCTACACCCAACCAACCCAAAAGTTGGAGGAGCAACTACTTACTCCTAGGTCAGCTAGCACAATTAACATATGTAAAACCCTTCCTTCTGGGGAAGCTCTTCTAGAACAAAGATCTGCTAGAAGATCTGCTCAAGGGCATGTTTTTATTTAAGGACTTACTTTTCCTTTCCTTAGTCCATAAATAATCATCCTAGATTTACTTAATAAGTAAAAGGTAAAGGTAAAGGCCCTCCCGTTGATCGTCGATTTGCTCGAGCGGGCCCAGTAACGTCTCCATTGGAGACTTTGTTGTTACTGTGTCTGGCATATCGAATACTCTCGGTAGCTTGCCGGGCTCTCTGAGAGGGGTGGAGGAATTGAACTCGGGTCGGCCATGTTGGCCGCTTGTAAGGCGAACGCCCTACCCACTGTGCTATCGCTCCAGCAATAAGTAAATCTTATTACTTAATAACCTTTCAAGTTATTTTGTATTGACACAGTCACTATCACTGTCATCCCATTGTTCATCTATTTGCTTGAGCGGGCCCAGTAACGTCTCTATTTTTTTTTTTTTTGAGACTTGTTGTTACTGTGTTTGGCATACTGTGTTTCGCATATTGAATACGTCATGGGTGGCTTGCCAGGCTTTGCAGTGCGGGCGAGATACTCTTGGTAGCTTGCCAGGCTCTCCAAGGAGGGCGAAGGAATCGAACCCGGCTTGGCCGGGCTGGCTGCATGCAAGGCAAACGCCCTACTGCTGTGCTATCATTCCAGTCCATGGACACAGTAAGAGATATAATAATCTTATAGGGTGGCTCTCCTGGGGACATCTCACAATAGACCCCAGACTACAGTGCTCAGGCCAGATAGTTCTTTCCTAACCCTAGCAGGGTCTTTATCCAGTTGTTCCTCTTTGGATCATGACAGAATTTGTCCATGACCGTGCTGTTCATTTATAGTTAAGTATTATGGTGCTTGGCCTGTCCCGTTTTGATGCCAGGGTAGTTCACAGTTTGCCCTGGTTCCATCCAGTCCTTTGGTCGGGACCCTGCTTCTGGGGTGCTAAAAACCAAGGGCAGTTGAGGCTTAAGACAAGTAAATATGACAGATGTCCAGAAGTTATTCGGAGTCAATTAACTCCCAAGTTACAAAATTATAATATAATTGTCTTTCTGTGTCTACACAAAAAGGACATTGCTCTAAAGTAAGCTATGCAAAGGACATAAAGAAAAGAGAAAAGCAATATTTCACATATGGTTACAAATCTATAGACCTCTGAAGAGTTTGACTTTACAAGCCACTTTGCAAGTCACTGCTTAGGGGAAATGAGTGATTAACAGGCAGGGAAACCAGAACACAAAGGAGAAGTTAAAGATGAATACTGAGGAAATGGGAGTACTTCAGGAGCATTGTGATGAATATTACTTCATAAACCTAAACTTCTTGTGGCAGAGAAAGCACAAACCAATGTAATCCAGTACTCAGTTGACCTCTACAATGACATATCCTTGCCTAATCACCTCCTAAGGTAGCTTCAAGGGTAAATTAGATGTAACACTCAATTTAAACTGTAAAGTTCAATACAAGCATTCACTGTTACTGTTATTTTTACTAGCACGGTAGCACTGTCCTCCCGTTGTTCATTGATTTGCTTGAGTGGGCCCAGTAACATCTCCATTGTGAGATTTGCTGTTACTGTGTTTGGCATATCGAATACATCATGGGTAGCTTGCCAGACTTTGCTGTACAGGCAAGATACGGGTAGCCTGCCGGGCTCTCTGAGAGGGGCGGAGGAATAGAACTGGGGTTTGCCAGGTTGGCCACGTACAAGACAAACTCCCTACCCACTGTGCTATTACTCCAGCCCCCAAAATAAATGAAACAAGGGAAAAAAAAGAAAACAAGAATAAACTGTCACAACTTCAAGGTTAGGTAAAGCCTTCTTGACGTGATATCAAAAAGCACAAGTGACAAAAACACATTAGATTTTTACCAAAAAAAAAAATTATTTTGGAGGGTGGTGGCATACTTCGTAGTGCTCAGGGTTTATTTCTCACTCTGTCGTCAGGAATCACTACAATTACTACCTACTCACAATACAATTGTGCCAACTCCAGGATGTTGACAAACTTAAAACCTTTTCTGCTGCAAACAATTAACAGGAATCACCAATTCACAAGAATAGGGGAAAAAAACTTTGCAAATCATGTATCTGAAAAAGGACTTGTATGTAGAATATAAAAATAACTCTACTCAACAATAAAAAGATAAATAATCATAGTAAAGGATCAGAATAGATATGTCTCCCTAAAAAGATAAGACTCATAACCAATAGATGCCTAAATTATTGAATCATACAAGTTTCTCTTTAACATTTAAAAAAACTATCAGACTGTTTTACCAAATAGCTGCATCATTTTACATTCCTGTTAGTAGTGTATAAGGGTTCTAATTTATCCACAGCCTTCCACAAAAATATATATATATGTCATTTTATAATATATGTCATTTCACAACCACTAACCATCCTAGTGGCTGTGAAGTAGTATCTCATTACATTTTTACTAAAGTTTTAAAAGTAAGGACTTGGCTACATAAGCTTCATGAAAGTTTCTTGGCAAAATTCCATCATGTGAAACAAGTTGATGGAGTTTCCCAAACCATTGTTGCTGCCTCCTTATTTTTAAAATGTAAACTCTATAGAGGTGTGGAAGTATGATCACAGCTTTTCCCTATGAACACATTACAAAAGAAATGTGAAAGAAGCCCTAGAGACTGTCAGGCACATTTCCCATTGTTGAACCATCTAATTCAGTGATTCTCCTGTTGTTAAGATGTTTACATGTCTTTCTTTCCTTTGCTCCTTATAAGTGAAGCCAGGTCAATCTTTCCAGTCCCTTTGTCTTGTGTAGGAGGACAGTCAGCATTGATAAGAGTGGAAGAACTACTTTGAGGAATTTTAAGTATTTTCTGACTAACTACATAAATGGTTTTCTTATCTTGTGACTTTATTAAAAAAATGTGTATTCTTGTGGACAGCTAAAACAAAAATCAACTAACTGTAAAGGATACTCTGAGACAGATTTTTACTTTCTTCTGCTTTAAGGAACTGACAAATGAATCATGTGGATGAGAATCTCATCTTTTGAGTCAATCTTGTCTGAATTTATCTCCTTTTCACATCCTGGAGCTCCCTTTTGGGACTCCCACATGTGTCTAGTCTTGTGATTGGCCTGGTTGGTCTGGTAGAATTCTCATGTCCTTTAGCCTTATTCTCTGTTCTCTTAAGATCCTGTTCAAAGTTACTCTTATGCTCTGCCTTTCAGGACACTCAGTGCTGATGTTCTGTAAGATGTCACTGCAGGCTCCATTTCTTAGCCAGAAATTTTGTTCCTCTCTCTGTTTAAGCTGTTCCTATCTCTTTAAATGGTTTCACATTCTTTCCTGTCTCCTGCTATAACTTGTAAAAGGAAGCACAAGACTTTTTATATTTTAATGAGATGAACAATTTCCTGGGCTGGAGCAATAGCACAGCGGGTAGGGAGTTTGCCTTACACGCAGCCAACATGGCCAACCTAAGTTCGATTCCTCCGCTACCGAGAATATCTCACCCTCACGGCAAAGCCTAGCTAGCCACCCATGACGTATTTGATATGTCAAACACAGTAACAACCAAGTCTCACAATGGAGATGTTACTGGGTCCGCTCGAGAAAATCAATGAACAATGGGAGGACAGTGATAGTGATAGAACAATTTCTTAGATCAAGAGTAAAATATGTTTTCCACCCATCAAAGGTGCCATTAATACCACTAATATAGTTAATACCACTAACATAAATTGAGCATCACAGATTAATCAAGTATTTTAACACCCATTTGGATGGATAGGTAAATTGAATAGATAGATCAATGGCTCTGTGGATAAATGTATATACATATGTATGTAAGGATGTATAAAAGGATGAATAGATAAATTAATGAATGGATGGATGGCTTATTTGTCATTTAGATTTCCTGGTTGAAGTAATTAGGTCAGTGAAATTGTATGGGTGAGAGCATGTGATAGTATTTTCTGAAGCCAACAATCAAGCATTTATCAGTTGCCTTAGAAACCATGTTCATAAACATGTTAAGAGCCAGCTGTCAAGAAAAATATTAATCTTAATCAGGGAAGTAAAAAGGAGAAAGGAAAAAAGCTCAAGCTATCAAGATAAAAAACTGACTTTTTAAAAATTAAAAATTAAGTAAAAAATTAAAATAAAAAATTAAGTAAAAAATTAAAAATTAAGTAAAAAGTAAAAAGGAGAAAAGCTCAAGCTATCAAGATAGAAAAACTGACTTTAAAAAAATCAACCTTCCTTCATTCTTGTCACTCAATTCGTTTTATTCCTTTTCTGCACAGCCTTCTAGCATCTATGCATTAGGGCTGGAGTGATAGCACAGCAGGTAGAGCGTTTGCCTTGCAAGCGGCCAACATGGCCGACCAGAGTTCGATTCCTTCGCCCCTCTTAGAGAGCCCGGCAAGCTACTGAGAGTATCTGAGATACTGAGAGTATCTTGCCCTTGTGGCAAAGCCTGGCAAGCTACCCGTGTTGTATTCAATATGCCAAATGCAGTAACAAGTCTCATGATGGAGATGTTACTGGGCCCGCTCCAGCAATTGATGAACAATGGGAGGACAATGATACAGTCATGCATTAGAAAAAGAATAGTGGATTTTTCCTTTGAGCTTAGTTTTTCACTATAGACTCCCATTTACATACCAATAACTTGTTTATTTTTCCTCTAGGGTCCGAAAGGCTTGCCAGGGGTGCCTGCCTATTCTGTAAGTATCTCCTTATTTATAAGATAAAACCCAACCAGAAGGACTACTTAGAAATCTCTGTGTTCATGTTTCTTTACTTTCTTTTTGTTTTTATAGCTATGTGATCTGATTCAGTTCATGCGGAAGAGTAGTTGTAAGTATCAGTGTGGCATGAAATTAGCATATTAGTGATTGGTGAGGGAATTTAAGACTCATTGGGATATTCAGAATCAGTATACTGAAATGACTGGCATGATGGTATATGTCTTCTGCCAGTAGACTGGTTGTGAGTGCCTGATGTAGGACGAGCTCATGTTAAAGGAGGGAGGAAAAGGAATATAATTGAAAAAAACAATGGCTTTAGTTCCTGATGTGTGATCCACAAAGGGAGAGAAACATTTAAAGATTAACTCCAATGTATATCAATTAGCTTACTCTAATACAAAATTATACACAAAAATACAGAGGAGATACAGTTTTAAAGATTGACCAAAGGTAGCTTTAGATTGGAGGCTCACTTGTTTAGTTAATGTAGTCTCTGTATATAGTGACTACCCCTGATTAAAGGGAAGTAACCTGCAGTGGCTTGGGAAGTTTCCAGATAGGAATAAAGCAAGAATCTACAAATCAATAAACTGGTTTTAGTTGTGAAGAAAGAGAAAATGAGATAGAAAAAGATCAGTTATTTTATTATTAAAAAATTATCCAGGGTCTGAAGTGATAGCACAGCAGGTAAGGCGTTTGCCTTCCACACAGCCAACCCGGGTTTGATTCCCAGCATCCCACATGGTCCCCTGAGCACTGCCAGGAGTATTTCCTGAGTGCAGAGCCAGTAGTAACCCCTGTGCATCGTTGGATGTGATCCAAAAAGCAAAAAAAAAAAAAATTGTCCAAAGGAAATAAAGCAAATGAAAGAAAAAACTATAGATAAAGACATAATTTAGGAACCAGAGCAATAGTACAGCAGGTAGTGTGCTTGACTTTTATTCAATCTATTGCATCTCTGGTTTTTCATATGATCCCTCAAGTACCACCAGGGTTAATTCCTGATAGCAGAGCCAGGAAAAACTCTTGAGCATCACTAAGTGTGGCCCAAAACAAACCAAAAAAAGACATAATTTAACTATTGCTCATTATGACAAGATACCTATATATTATACTTTTTACATAAAAGAATGATTTGGTTATAGTGCATCACTAATGAAATTTGAGCAGAAACAGTTTTGAAATCTTAAGCAAAAGATGAATAATATTTTCATTTAAAAGCATAAATTTAAATTGCATTCTTATCATTTTACATAAGTAAATATAGATACATAGAACTAAATACTAGAAAGTAGAAAACTATAACAACTGCTTGTTGTATTAGGGTGGTAGAATTTCAGTGATTTGTCCTCATGTTGCTATTGCCGTATGATGATAAATAATGCTCGTACAATTACAATCAGATGAATAAAAAATGGAAAAATTGGAGAAACTTTACTGAAGAAGACTGCATCAAAATGTAGTCATCACAAGTGTATAGCAAGGAAAAGACAGCAATAACAAAATGAAAGTTTAACATCTTTGGAAGATCTCAGGTGGCAAGGCTAAATATTACTTGGATGAAGAAAGAGAGGAAAAGTTGTCCAGGAAAATTGATTTTGTAGAAAATAATGTTGCATTTAGACATCTTAGAAGTAGATAAATATCATGCGTGCCTCAAATTGAAATCATCTACAGGAAGCTGATGAAATAAAACTGGAATAATGGTGAGTGCTGGGTAATTAGAGGAGAATGTGACATCACTAACATGTTGGTGGTGTTCAGCCACAAGGATGGGTAAGCCTTCAGGGAATTTCAAACGGGAGAGACAGAACAGAAACCAAAGGAATAGACCCAGACAGACATCTTGCGGTAGATTGGGTCCGAAGAACAGCAAAGATGGATTTGCAGATTAGTCTCACAGAATTTGAAAAGAATCCAAGAAGCAAATGGGGCAAAGATTCTAAGAAACGATACCCGAGAGGAAAACTATTATTGCTGAGAGAATAGAAAAGATCTTTAGAATGTGGGAAGAGGGGAGAAGCAGTCCCAAATCGGAGGAAGAAGTTAGAGTGAAGAGCTATTGTCAGGGAGATTAATGTGTAATCCAGTAATCCAACTCCCTCAGGCATTGCTGGTCTTCTTGGGAAATAAAATGAGGTCCACCCAAGGAAAACTGTAGGAGATGGAAGGGCTGACTCTCCACCCAGGATATTTGGGGATTGGAAGAGATTTTTCCAACTTGGAATGAAATGAGTTAATCAGGAAATAATGAGGCAAGGAGGAGTCGGCAGTTTCTATAATTAGACCAGGGTGTTGATGTGAATGTCAAAATACAGAAGAAAGATGATGTTTTCAATGATAGGAATTCAGAGGTAATTTGGATGGTCTCAATGGTAGATGATATAACCTGGACCTTGCAAGGTTGGATTCCAGCTTTAATGCAAACTTCTTAAAGACCAGGTAGGAATGAGATGGGAGTTGAGGGGGAATTGGAAGAGAGAGAAGGTGGTCAAGAATAAATGAGGAGAGACCAAATGACTCAAGTTTTGAGGAAGAAACACCTAAAGAGGGAATGATAGTTATAGAACAAATACATTTTGAGACCCCACCCTAAAACATGTCAAATAATTTTCCAAAAATCACCTCCCTTTTCTGGACTCCACCAGGTGGGACTGTTTCCAGAGCATGTGCTGCTAGCCTCAACACTGGGCTTGGGTCTGTCAATATGGGGTGGTTCCCAGAAGAGAAGAGGTGTCTGGTTTAGGTCTTAAAATCCAAGGAGGCTGTGGGCTATACATGCTGCCTGCTGGCATTAGAATTTCAGAGGACATAGTCTTAAGACAACTCAAAGGCGACAGTGGAGTTGATGTGAGGAAAGTGTGTGCTACAGGAGAGAATGGATGGAAGGCCAGATTGTTGCCAGTGTGAGTTAAAATCTTTTGTTATATTGAAGTAATTCATTTGCTTCCTAGAAATTGAGTGGAACGACCATGGAAATTGCTAGGCCGGTGCTTTCTAAAGATGTAGCAACATTTCCCCCTAATTCACCACATTTTCACAGAGCAAATCACTTAAAGAAATAAGATGTGGGGGGTGGGTGGAGTAATAGAACAGCGGGTAGGGCATTTGCTTTGCATGTGGCCGACCCAGGTTAGGTTCTCAGCATCCCATATGGTTCCTTGAGCACCGCCAGGAGTAACTCCTGAGTGCAGAGCCAGGTGTGACCCAAAAAGAAAAAAAAGAGAAATAAGATGCTAGGTTTCCGTTATCCCTTAGGTATGGAGAAAATTCAAACACAGCACACATGCACACACATATTTATAAATATTATAATATATATAGATAGATTTTTTTGAAACCCCCATAGTTCACCAGATGTTGATCAGGAAAGAAAATAACACCCAATATTTTAGCCTTGTCTTGTTTAATGATTCTTAAAGGCTATAAAGGAGAGAAAACAAATTAGATTCTAGCTATCTTGCCATTTAAAGACTCATCTATTATGCTTCACCAAGACAAATAATTAGTGTTGAGGTTTCTAGCCAAATTCAACCAATGTCTACAGTATTGACTCACAAGAAGAAAAGGTCAGGAGGGTTCACCAGTTAATTAGTATAATGCCTGTACATCTTCCTGAAGCCATTCAATCTGACTGCCTGGAATTTAGTAATGTTCTTCATTTGTAATAAGGATCCAACAAAACATCAACCTTTGTTGGAATTTGTGTTATTGGGATTATGTTTTGATTTGTGCCATATAATATACCTCTCTCTCTTTCTCTCTCCCTCTCTCTCTCTTATAGCTTGTTGGAGAGGTGAGTTTTCTAGCTATACCATGTTTCTTGTTGAAATAAATACTGCCTCCTGACAAAACTAAATTTTAAAAAATTCTCCAAATGCCCCCCCCAACCAGTCCCTCACCCCATAAAGCAAGCTTCTTTGCTTTATGGCAACACTTATGTTTTGGGAGGCCTATAGTTATTCATGCTGTTTCAACTTGATTATACGATGGTAACTGCCAGGACTTGGCCTTCAGCATGTCTAATCTCCCTGGGTTCTGTCACAGCTTTCTACTTGGTTCCTCACAGAGCAGTGCTGTGTGACTAGGGAGTTGGTGACTGGGCTTTCTGCTTGTCTACATTCTGACATTCAGTTCTCATGACCCAGAACACTCCCTTCTTCACAGTGTTGTTTCCTTTCCTCTCTCTGGTATGCAGCCTTACATTTTCTCTCCCTGATGCCCACCACATCACCCTGGCTCTGCAATATGTGGCCTTCCAGGACCTTGATGCATTTGGTGCCACCTGACATTGTAAACACCTCAGATGGGGTTGTCTTTGAAACTGGTTCTATTAACCTGAAGACCTCCAGCTGAAATGGGCCTTGTGGGTGGAGAGGATGACTTTGAGCTTATCCCCAAATTGGAAGCCATTGACTTTAATTCTACCACATACAGAAGATATCAAGCACACATAAGTGGTCCACAAAAATGGCATGAACTTGAGTGAAGCTTGTTGGGTAACCTGCTGGACAGTAGGGAAGGGTGAAAACAAAAAAAAAATAAAAATTACCCCTGAGAGAATCTGTAATGATAGGTAAATCTCAATAGGCACTTGTCTATTCCTTCACTAATAACTTTTAGAACAATGCTAAGAAAAAAGTAATGCGTTTTTTTCAGCATTTAATGTTCATCATTGGTTTTGACATTTAAAAATGTCTCCACAGTAAAATTCCTGAGAATCTTGAGAGAAGTAGAATTCCTGAGAGAGGTAAAATTCCTGAGAGAAGTAAAAGAATATGACAACATTCTGTCTCCCACTTGTCTTACTGAGAATAGTGGTTGTGACATGGGATATGCCAAGTTTAATTTTTCTTTGGGGGAGACAGATTGGCATGGTAGAACAGCTTATGTAGATAGGGCTGTTTTTAAATTGATTTTTCTCTCTCTGTGATCAGACCTTTACAAAGACATTGAGAAATTAGGCTTGATGCAAGGCAGATTCCTCCTAAAATTCAGCCATCATGTTAGTATTCTTATTAAATTCAGCCATCACTAGTGTTGACTTGTGAAAAAGTCAGTGACCTCTTGAGAGTTAGTAGTCATTCTACCCAGTGATTACTCCTTGAATAGAGTCTTTATCCTCTTGAGCCACAATATAAGAGTTTCAGCATAGCAATGAGTACCTGGACCAGTTGGTCAAGAGCAGATCCACATTTGCTTCAACTTTGTATCCCCTTCCTAGTATATGTCACTCTCCTCTTTTTATCGTGAGCATGCAATAATTATTGAATCATATGTGGATGACAGTCTTCCAGCTGACTTTATCATTATTAGGAGAATATTTCTGAAGATTTTGAGAAGAGTAGATCTTCCCAATTTCCAGTAAACCTTAATTTTCTTGTATTTCTTTTTAAAATGAGCACGCCAAAAATACCACATTTTTTGTGAGCTACGTTCAAGCATGCAAAGATTCATGTCACCAATACCTTAGTCAGGACACAGACCGTCCCATTAGTCCCAACCACACTTTCACTTACATTTTTTTCTTCTTTTCCATGTATCGACCATTTGCATGTTCCTACTCTTAATGTGAACCAATTACACTGGAGGGAGGGAATGGGAAAGGCTTTTGATGCAGTGAAATAACTTAATTCTTCTGTTTTTCACTTCTGTAGAGAGGTGTCCAGTGTATCCAACAGAGCTGGTATTTGCCCTGGACCAATCCATTGACATTGGAGAATCAAGATTTAATGAAATGCGTGACCACATCATTTCCATTGTGGAAAGCCTTCACACTAGGACAAATAACTGCCCTGTGGGAGCAAGAGTGGTGGTGGTTTCCTATGATTTCCGCACCCATTATCTTATCCGTCAGTTTGACTACCACAGCAAGAAACAACTCCTCCAACTTCTTTCCCAGATTAAATATCAACCTCGGACAGGGCCTGAAGACATTGGTAGCGCAATGAGGTTTGTGGCCCGGAACGTGTTCAAGAGGACCCCTGCTGGGGTCAATGTGAGGAGGGTGGCCGTGTTTTTCAGCAATGCACAAAATGTCAGGATGTCATCCATCATCACAGCCACCATGGAGTATAGCGGGCTTGACATCAGTTTGGCAGTCATTTCTGTGAATGAAAGGATCTTCCTGGAGGCTTTTGAGGTAAGAGATTTCCTTGACAACTGCTTCATGTTTAAGATTTCGGTACTGACAGGCTGGAATGGTGGGGGGTAATGAGAGAAGTATGGCTTCTTCACTGCATTGCCATTTCCATGGCTGTTTTGTTGCCAGAGTCCCTGAAATCCAACGTCTAATAGGAATGGTATTAATAATGAGAAAAGCCAGCTTTGTGTGCCTCTTGCATTCCCAGAACTTTCCATACTTACTCATGCACACTTACTCACAACTCTCTGAAGGAATGAAGCTGTCATTTTCAGGTAAAACATGAGGAAACTCTTCTAAGGAAGTAGCTAAGTGACTCAATCCCACTTAGCCTCCTTACGAAAAGGGCTAAGTCAGGCTGATCTCTTCCAGTCTTCTACAGATCTGCTGGGCTGAGACTCTGTTATCTGCTCACCCTTTCCTACATAATTGCTGGACTTAACCTGGGACAGATGAAGGTTAGGGGTTATTTGAACCCCTCAGGTTGTACAGTACATTCAACTTTTTATAAAAAAAAAAGGTTCTATCCCTTTTATAGCTACATATTCTTGTGGAATCTATGCTTCCCTATACATTTCCCCCAAAACAAACAAAACAAAACCAAAGGAAAAAATATTTTTTTAAAAAAACCCTACATCTTCTGTTTTACTGGTTTAAAATATACTCAAGATTATCCTTGAAATATATGCTCCTGGAGCTTGTGTGAGCCAAGAGATTATGTGTCTCTTTTCAAGTAAGTTCACACATCTCCACTGAAAAAATAAAAATTAGCCTACTCCACCCTAGGGAGAATCAGTCTGCTCATAACACATCTAAGAATTTTTTGGAAATAAGAGTCCAAAGGAGAGTCATAAAAGAAGATTTTGTAAGAAGTCAAAGATTTTTGTATAAAAATAAAATGACCTCCCAACATACTAGAAAATTTACACTGTTGTTTATTTTTATTTGTATCTCCCTATTAGAATATAGGGAGATATTTTATCTGATTGTTCACTTCTACATCCTCAGCACCTAGAATAGGACCCATAATATTGTGGGTATTTGTAAAGATATATTGGATAAAAAAGAAAGAGCAGGTGGTTTACACCTGTGATTAAACTTTCTTGATTTATCAAGGCAGCATTTAGCCTTTTCATGATGGGCAAACAAGCCAAAGAATACAGGTATCCTTTCATTAAAAAGTGCACAGGAATGAAATAAATGCTTCCTAGCCATAGTCATTTCCAAATACTCACATAACACTTTACCAAACAATGGGAATGTGACTTCTTTAATCCTTCAATTGCCAAGGGAAAATAAAGAGGAAGCCTGAAGGCTGGAGAGGTATCTTTATTATCATCTGGGGGGTGCTATACACTTTTCTTTATAAGGCAAGTGTTTGCCCTGGATGGCACTTCACATAGATCAAATACTGTAGAGTTATTGACTCACTGAATACACAGAATGAATGAACATGAATGAATATGATGTCTTATCTATTTTAGCATGCATTAAAGACAATGTCATCAAGAAACAGAATCAGGAAATGTACTCCCAAGTCTTTGGAATAGATCTGGTGTCTTCTGTCTGCTGCCCACTCTTTTCTGAAATAGACTTTTCTTTGGAGATAAGATTGAGAAAGTCCACTTGACATCTGAAAGATGTGCCCTTCTTTGTTGCTTTTGGTGTGTTTTGTTTGGGGTCAAACCTGGTAGTGTTCAGGGCCTACTCTTGGCTCTGCACTCAGGGATCACTCTTGGCAGGGCTCAGTGGACTACATGGAATGCCAACAATTGAATCTGGGTTGACAGTGTGCAAGGCAAGTGTTCTGCCATTAGATTATCTTTCTGACCCTCAGATGTATCAATTTAAAGATAATGTGACTGCAGTAGAAATAGTTGAAATCATTGCTTTGTAAGGCAAAAGATAATTTGTAAATACAGAACATTTTCAGGAACAAACGTCAGAAGCTGATGTACTTAATCCACTGGTACATAATTAAAATTGTATAAAAATTTAGTGTGTAATCATAGGCATGGAAATAAGAGTGAAATTTTAATACTTGTCCTAAGGGATAAATCTAGTCATCATTTTGTGTTAGTTTTCTCATAAAGTAGAAATGATACCCTAAATGAGTGTGTGTGTGTGTGTGTGTGTGAGAGAGAGAGAGAGAGATACACAGACAGAGACTGAGAATGTGAATACACTAAAGAGGAAAGCGATATTAGTTGGGTCTTCTCAAATCAATTCTTAAATTGGGTGGACTATAGCTTCCTACTAGTGACCAAGAAAATGACCAAACAGCTTCTACTTCTTTCTCAACACAGTTTGACAACACTGGGATGTTTCAGGTGATCCCCAGTCCTCCAGGATTGGAATATACACTAGAAAGACTTCAGCGCTGTACACTTTGCTATGGTAAGACCAGCAAGAAGAATTTATTACTGAAAAGTCTTAAATGCCTTCTGGATGAATTATTAAATATGACTTTATCTGATATCTCCATTTTTATTATAGATTATACTTTAAATTCTGGTCTTTTGATACCCTATGTCAGGATTTTTTAAAATTTAAAATTTCCATGCTAATAACTGGGTTGATTTGGTTTAATTAATTCAATAACTATTCCAATCAATATGGATTTTAATTGAGGGACAGTTTTGTAGTCTGTGTCCAAAGCCTCTAGAATATAGGGCACCTATATTTATTTTTCCTTTAAAAATGTTTTATAGGGTCACATCCAATGATGCTCGATAAACCAATGTTTGAGGGGGGTCTATAAGCTACTAGGGAGTACATTTAAGGTCTTTTATCACTTGAGCTGTCTCCAACCCAAGAACATCTTATCTAAATAAGTTTGTTCATGACTTGTAGATGAGATATACTTGTTTTCTAAGTCTACTTTCAATTTAGACCTTTTCATCTTGTCTGTAAGTGACCATAGAAATATTGCTACATTTAAAAAAATTCCTATTAATGGGGCTGGAGTAATAGCACAGCGGGTAGGGTGTTTGCCTTGCACGTGGCCAATCTGGGTTCGATTCCCATATGAGCACCACCAGGGATAATTCCTGAGTGTAGAGCAGGAGTAACCCCTGTGCATCGCCAGGTGTGACCCAAAAGCAAAAAAAAAATAACAAAAAAACCCTATTAATTTAGATAATGTGAGATTAAAGAAGTATCAATCATATTATTTATTCTTGTTAATTAGTCACTGGGTCATATGCTTAAGAGTTCAGCATCTTGTGCCAACACTGAACCAATGATGATTGTCTCTGTATGTTTTCAGATAAGTGTTTTCCAAATCCTTGCATCAGAGAGATTTTTTTGCCTGAAGATTCATTCATGGATGTAGCCTTTCTTGTAGACAATTCTCGGAATATAGCAAGTGATGAGTTTAAGGCTTTGAAAACTTTGGTGATCTCAATGCTTGGCAACTTTAGAATTGCTTCAAACCCTTTAGACCCAAACTCTAGAGGCGATAGGATTGCCTTGCTGAGCTACTCTCCTGAGGACAGTTCCAGAGGAATGAGGAGTGCAATAAAAGCAGAGTTTGACTTTACAACTTTTAAGAGTCAAGACCAAATGGAGAACTACATCCAGACTAACCTCCGTCAGCTAAATGGAGAAGAAAACATAGGCTATGCCCTATTGTGGAGCATGACAAATCTCTTTCCAAGAACACCAAAGTTGAGAAAACACAAGGTCTTCTTTGTGGTGTCAGCTGGAGAAAATCTAGAGAACAAAATTTTCTTAAAGAGGATGGCCCTGAGGGCTAAGTGTCAAGGCTATGTCATATTTGTGATTTCCCTGGGCTCTACACATGTGAATTACATGGAGGAGTTAGCCAGCTACCCACCTGATCATCATCTGATACAACTTGGGAAAATTCATAAACCAGAGCTGGATTATATTGTGAGGTTTTTAAAGCCATTTGTATACTCAGTCAGACGTAAGTCATTATTCATTTTTTCTTGCTTTGATTTAACAAATTAGTTTTTGTTGTTAATATTTATAATCTAACACTGTATCTACAGTTAACCCAAATATGTTAATTAAATGATAATGTATGGACTAGATGGGACGATTACTATTTGCACACTAGTATGATGCAGTGAGGTCTTGTTTGTGATAGTTTCTCTTAATCAAAAATCTCTTCATTAGAAAGCTCAGGGCTGGAGCGATAGCACAGCGGTAGGGCGTATGCCTTGCACGCAGCCAACATGGCCACCCGAGTTCGATTCCTCCGCCCCTCTCGGAGAGCCCGGCAAGCTACCGAGAGTATCTCGCCAGCACGGCAGAGCCTGGCAAGCTCACCGTGACGTATTCGATATGCCAAACACAGTAACAACAAAGTCTCCAATGGAGACGTTACTGGGCCCGCTCAAGCAAATCGATGATCAACGGGAGGGCCTTTACCTTTACCTTTAGAAAGCTCAGAATAGTTGAAAAAAGCTCAGAACCACTTATGCGGTTCACTCAGCCTTAGGAAATTCCAAGAGCAATTAGCCATTAGATAAGTCTCCAGGATAAGCATGTAAATTCAAGTTTTTCCTGCACACCTAGTTTGCTTGCAACATGGATGAGGATAGAACAACAAAATGGTGTTGTGTTGCTCCTAAAAAGTCTGAGAATGCAGGAGGGGGCAGGCTTGATCTCCTATACCTCAAAGCCTCCAGAGCATCGCTGAATACAGCACTAGAAGCCCTCAAACACCTTTGGGGTGGCCTGGTATGCCCCATCCTTCAGAGTCCAAGCAACAGCATTTCCTCTGGTGCTAGTATTGAACCTCCAGCCTAGTTTTCAGAGTATCACTAGAAATTGCCCTCCCTGAGTACCGAGAATTCCTCCTCACCCACCCACCCAAAGAGAGTCTGAGCAAACATTATCACGTGGAAATCTCCATAAAATACTGGTGTCAATTCAGGGTGTCTAGAGAGAAGGCTGGGACTCTCTATTTCTAACATGTTCCTCAGTGATGTCAGTGCTTCTGGTCCATGAATCATACTTTGAGTAGCAAAGGTGTAAGCCAGAGCTCTACAAAATATTGCCCATGGGCTGGTTCCATTCCGTAAACTGATTTGAGAAAGGGAGTTACAGAAAGTAAGGAATTCTGAAAATTCTCAGAATTCTGGAAGCAATTTGACATTCTTCCGTTACAAGTCACAAGCAGAGAGCTCTGTCTCATTGAACCACACACAAACCTAAAGGATCAGGCTGCAGATGATTTAGATACAAAACATTCATCCTTCATCATAAATGGTTGAGTAGCGTTTTCGCTAGATTAGCAGCTCTCAACTGTGAATGATTGTGACTTCACCCCTACCCCACCCGCCATCTTCTCCTCCTACACCTCCTGAACATTTTAAAATGTTTAGAGACATTTTTGGTTGTACCAACTGAGGGAGATGATATTACTGGCATTTTAGAATCCACACCAGGATACTGCTAAACATGCTGTAGTGTACAGGTTACTCTCCACAGCAAAGAAAGAGTCATCCCTCGTGGCAGTAGCATTGGGGTTGAGAAATTCTGCTCAGAGATTCCTGTAGAATGTCAGAGAGAACTCCATTTTCTCCAGTGACTAATATTTGATTGATAATCCAATGATTTTCTTCTTGGGACTATGGTACTATTTGTTAAACTCTAAATTCATTCATTGGCAAAATGCACCATTGTATAACAATTTTTAACATCTTATCTAAAAAGTAAACATCTTATCTAAATTTTTAACATCTTATCTAAAAAGTAAGCAATAATTCTAAATTTTGATACTGTTAGAATTTTTTTACAGTAATTAAAAGAACTTTTTTTACAGTAATTCTTTTATAATTTCACTATTGTTGTTCATGTGTAAAGAGGAATATATAGATTAGAGCAACTAAGAAATTTCTAAAACTTTACGTGTAAAATGTAACTCTTGTGAGCTACTTCTTGACTTCCAGTCTTTAATATACTTTTGTTCCCCTAAAGACATTGCTGTCTTTAGGCCATTCAGATTGGTGATGATATTACATACTAAACTGTCCTCTTTAGGCCATTCAGATTGGTGATGATATTACATACTAAACTGTCCTCCTGTTGTTCATCAATTTACTCAAGCGGGCCCAGTAACGTCTCCATTGTGAGACTTCTTGTTACTGTGTTTGGCATATTCAATACTCTCGGTAGCTTGCCAGGCTCTCCAAGAGGGGGCGGAGGAATCGAACCTAGCTCGGCCGGGCTGGCTGTGCGCAAGGCAAATGCCCTACCGCTGTGCTAATAACTCACTGGTTTAGTTGGCTCTTTAAGTAGCTTTTGTAGTTATGTTTAGCTATCATACTTTTGGTAATAGTATCAACACATCTAGTGTACTTAATTTCTGTAACTCATTGGTTCATAGGAGTTAAATGATTTATCAAATACTACTTTTGAGCGTTTTTTCCCTCAAACTACTTACTCCATCCAGTCCTATAATTTTTAGTGACAACATATTTTCTGTTCCCAGTGCATAGATAACAATTATATCATAATCCTTACAACTATAAATGAAACTGATTAGAAAATATCAGTTCATTTCAGAGATAAAGAAAAAAGCTGCTCATCTTAGAACCAAATTATTATGATTATTATAACTATAAACCCTTCTGAGATAGTGTCATAGAATCTTGTATTATTCAGTGCTCAAAGTGTTTCTTCAACTAAAAATTTTTATTTCATTAATAAGATGTAAAAATAATATAATTAATAATATTAATACTTAATATTTCAAAGCTTATGGCACAACATAGGAAAGAAGGAGGGAGCAAAGGGCCATATTATTTAGATCACTGTCTGCCCGTTGCTCATCTATTTGCTCTAGTGGGCCCAGTAATGTCTCCATTGTGAGACTTCTTGTTACTGTGGTTGGCATATTGGATACATCAAGGGTAGCTTGCCAGGCTTTGCCGTGTGGGCGAGATACTCTTGGTATCTTGCTGGGCTCTCCAAGAGGGATTATTTAGATCAATAAGATAAAAATCATTTCTCCTGAAAATAAAGTTATGAAATTTGCTTATAAATGCATGAACATGGAGAGTATCATGCTGAGTGAAATGAGTCAGAAGGAGGACAGTCATAGAATGACTACATTCATTTGTAGAAATTGTACTTAGGGAAACACAATTTATAGGAATAAAGACATAATGCCATTGCTTATAAAGACATGATATGATGTCATTACTTTCACCTTTCTTTCAAGAGTTTTTCTTTAAAAAACTAAAATATATTTTCAGAAATTAAAAAAAAACTATACTATTTTTAATATATAAAAATTATATATCAAAAAAATGTAATATGAAAATGCACATTTGAGAATGTTTAGGAAATCAAATAAACTTAACTTTGCTCATACAAAAAATTAATTTCTCCTAGGAAGTTATTCTCAATTGAGGCAGAAGCACAGGAATTGCATAATATAATAAAACATTATTTCATCTCTAAAAATCATAGGAAGTAGTATGAGTAAAAAACTTTAGAGAATCTAAATTTGCCTTAGATAGTGCTACTCTGAACATAGAAACCATGCTCCTATGATCTCCATATGATACCCTGAATCACAATGAACTCTTCAGCCAACAATTTGAAGAGTTTCCATAATTATGATAAATTTGACTGCAAAACTCTTCCAAATTGAGTTTTGAATGCTATTTCTACTTGCTAAACTTTTCTGTTTTCATTCGAGACAAATTTAACTGAAATCTTTTAGTGCAACTTACTGCTTCTAGTATATACCCACTGATATTCTCCTTACCTAGAAAATGCAATTTCTGGTTTAAAATTCTAACTAAAATTTTGCTCTCTTGGTAGGACAATTCAATAAATACCCACCACAAGTGCTCATGGAAGAATGCAGAAGCGACTCACAAAGAGGGGATAACGATCGCCTGTGAGTTAGAAAAAAATGCTATGTATCCAAGTGACTGCTAACTGATTGATGGGACAGAATTGGATAGTGACAGATTATGAGGCTGAGGAAGCTCATAAGGTCCCTGAAGTAAAGGCACTTTATCCATCCCATTTCTAAAGTTACTTATCAAGCATGCTTTATAGACTGATGCTATTAGAATACTCTCATATGCTTTGTACTTTTGCCTTTGAATTCATGATTTTGTCATAAATTCTCATATTTAAATTTAACTCAGAATAGAACCTACAATTTAACTTCAACGTTTTGCAATATCACATCCTTCCATACCATGTGCACTAAATTCTGGCCACACTGAACTCTTGTCTGCTTATATGAACTGAAGGAATACAACCTAATACCCTTTTCCCTCCAGTGAACATTAGCCATATTTAATTGTCTGGATGAAAGCTGTCTTTTCTGTGATATCCATCTCTATTCTCTGTTCTCTTCTGAAAATCTGTACTTTCTCTAAGTACCTGTTTCTGGTAAGGTGGTAACATATATGAGTCAAAGACCCCAAGCATAACTGCACATGAAAACAAATTTCCTTAATTTTATAGCCTACATTGTAATGTAAATAATTCATCTGAGGAAATTGTGAGTCTCAAAGAGAATGAGAATTACTCATTTGACTGCTTTCCTCTTCTTTATTCTATTGAGCGTGTGTCATTGACTACAGACTCTGAAAGTTCCTATTTAGGGACGGAAAGAGTCATTTTCTCAGATAGAAATTTAGAAAGAACAACAGATATAAGTTTCTCAGGGGTCATAGTGATAGTATAGCCTGGTATAGTCTTGCACGTGGCTTACGTGGGTTCAGTTCTTGGCACCATATATGATCCCCCCACTCCTAGCCCTGTTAGGAGTGATCTCTAAATGCAGAGCCAGACGTAAGCCCTGAGCATTGCTGAGTATCCCCACTACACTCAAAAAGAAAGTTCCTCACAGTCTCCCAAAATAAAAAATGACAAGATGCAGACATTAGAACTTATGATGTGCATGTTCCTACCTATAGTATCAGATTTGCTTTGCTGTCCAACATCAAGTAAACCATATGCTAATGAGAATCAACTCTCACTTGAACTGCTGACAAATATTGTGATGTTACTTAAGCCTGAACAAACAAAAATCTAGCTGTCATTCTTAGGCAGCTATCAAACCATAATAAATCTGGGCATCAAATTAAGACAACTTGCTAATACTCAAATGTAAAACATTAGTTTAATGTAATGAATCGTTCCAGTTTGCCAAAAGAGAATTCCTGGAAGCTGAAAAACTTGCTCTATCTTGGTAAAAATATGTAAATGAGAAGGCAAGCTGTAGGGGCACAAGCAAACTCCCAGCCTGATGCTCTGTTCACAGTTCCTCACCACTGATCTCTGCCTGCACTATTGAGAATTATCAACCACACGCTGTGCTATGACAGTTCTGACCTTTCTTTGCCATGCACACATAGATCACATACTCTGTCTAACTATTTTTCTTTCCTCATTAACTATCAACAGGTAAAGTAATCCTAATGTGTGCCAAAAACCAGTATCAAATACAAATGTAGGGACTAAATGTCTCTAAAGTAGCAGAAACAGATGGATTGCATGTGTGAGGCCCTGGATTTGATCCCTGGTTCTGTGTCCCCCCTGAGTCCTGGTGGGTGTAGACCCTGGCCCCCAGGTACTGCAACAACAATTACTAACTAAATTGAAGCATAGACCATGAAGTTGCTGAAAGTTGCATAAATAGGGTAAAAATAAATACAGAGTTTTCTTTAATCACCTAAATCAGTGTTTCTCAACCCTTTGACTCCCTTTCAACTCTGTATCCTTCCTGTCACCCTTTTGTTCTACTGGTTGGATCCCTAAACTTGTGCCGTAACCCCCAAACCCATTTAAAGTTTTCACCTGTGTAGTCCTTGGGATACCCAGGTTGTAAAATATTGATCTAAATAAAATTACAGCTTTTTATTTTAACTTTTTGGGTCACACCCAGCAGTGCTCAGGGGTTGCTCCTGGCTTTGCACTCAGGAATTACTCCAGTGGTGCTCAGGGGACCATATGGGATGGTGGGGATCGAACCTGGTCTACCACGTGCAAGGCAAATGCCCTACCCTCTGTACTATAGTTCCAGCTCCCATTCATAAGTTATTGCAAAGAACTCTTTAAACTCCTATCAATATAGACATCATTTTAGGCCTGATGTCACTGAGATAGATGTTCTTTGCAAATTATTTTCTATGATGATTGATAATAATTTGAGATGTAGTATATCATTATTGCAAATGATCTACAATTAATTTTCTTACATTTATTTAAAGCACTGATGCAAATCAGATATGGTTTAGACTTAAGTAGTATTTTATAGGTTGTGAGCATGTAAGGCATGTGAGGGAAAAGGAAGAAAAGATGGAATTTTAAAACTGTGTTAGTTTATGGGGGTCGAGGATAGCTCACAGTGCTGAGCATACTTAGCATGCAGAGGCCATAAATTTAATCCCCAGCACTTCCTGGTCCCCAAAGATCACTAGGTAGAGCCCTGGTGACCCCCAGCACTGCTTGGTCTGGCAGCAGTACATCACTTGACTGAGCTGTATATCCTGAGAACAACTTGAAAGGCATAAATAAATAAATATTTGTCACTTTATATTTTAGAGATATATTGAATATTATTGAATTATTTGAAATTTATATTTTTAGTTACCCAGTATTTTCCTTCTAAAAATTGTCTGGATTAAAGTATTGAGTTCTTTCATTTGCATTTCCAAAAGTTATATAGATTCACTTAAAACTTTCTCTTTTTATATCCTAGCTTTATTCCTGAGCCACCTGAGATTTCTTCAGGAGAGAGCGGCTTGAATGTTCAGGAACTAAGTGCTGAAAAAGACTTGCCTTTTGTGTTAGAGGACAATGGAAGTAACCATTTAGTTTACAATCCAAGTCACATGATAATGCCACAGGGATTGATGATTAAATATGAGAAAGATCAGAATTCTGAAGAAATGTCAAGCCTCCATTCTGGTAAGGAAATATAAAGTTATGGAAATGTGTAGTCCTGGATCCTCATCTTTTAGCTGGTAGAGAATAAAAGAAATGAAAACTTATCTCCAAGGTAGCCTTTTTTTTAATGTGGAAGACTGTAGCCATAGCTACTTGATTTTACTGAAACTGAAGATTCAAATAGTGACAGACACCACTAGGGAAATCACTGATACAGGATCTAAGAATGTTCTTAGTACTCTCACAAACTTAGATTTCTCTGGATCCCATAATTAGAAGATGGGTACGATGTAGGAAGAAATCATATAGAGAATAGCAGAGCAAAGGAGGAATTAAGATGGCTAGTAAAAGTTGGCCTGATCTACACCCTAGCATTTGTGATTACATGACAAGTTATGTTACTTTTGAGATGCCCAGGAACGACAAAATACAAACTTCATCAGCACCTACTCTATACATTTTAATGGCAAAGCTATAGTAACTCTATTGGTTTAATAGTTTCATACAAATAAAATACATTGGATTTTGTTGAAATTCTTATTTTAAAAGGGCGACAACATTCTAACATTGCACATTCCAACTATGCCTCTAGAGTTTTCTAAAGTACTTTCAAGTATTTAAAGTATTAAGTCATAAATACTTTGTATGTTGTTACAATATGAAAATATAAAGAAGAAAGGTCTGAGTTATGGCAGTTATTCATAAGAATTAAAAGCATTCATTCTTAATAATGCCCTTGATTTTCTTTTTCTCTGGTTCAACACTAATATCTTCTTTTTTTTTTCAAGTGTAAATATCTGATCTTCATTTTGAAAACAGCTAAATTGTTCTGTTTTATAAAAGTCACAATTTAGAAACAAAAAAATTCTCATTTAATTAGCTGAGAAAATAAGACTTAAAAATATGATTTTGCAGTACCAGAGAGAGAATGGGGTATTAAAATGCTTGTCTTACATGCAGCTGCAGCTGCCTTGACCCTCATTCAAATTTCCTGAGCACTGCCAGGGGTCACTCCTGAGCACAGAGCCAGAAATAACCCCTGAGCACAGCCAAGTGAGCCTCCTGTTCCTCCCCCCAAAACAATGAAAACTTATGTAGTGAAACAATGTATGAAAATCACAAAATATTAAGACCTTCAAGTGTATAGTTTTTAGTTGAGATGATTTTGTTGTCATTTTTATAGCTTACAGAACAAAATAAAACAATTGTTCTTTTCAATGGGTCTTTTCAATTCAAAGTGTTCCTTTAATGATGTGGAAATTACAATAGCTCAAGGGAAGGAGTTTAAGATTTGTGTTCAAAAAAGAAAAAGAAAAAATGTTTTTCTGAACTGTTTGGCTTACCAAACTGCTGTGTCAGTTTTGTTAGAAGTAAACATTCTCAGGGTCAGAGTGATAGCACAGTGGGTAGGGCGTTTGCCTTGCATATAGCTGAACCGAGTTCGATCACCGGCATCCCATATGGTCCCTTGAGCACTGCCAGGAGTAATTCCTGAGTGCAAAGACAGGACTAACCCCTGAGCATTGCTGGGCGTGACCCAAAAAGGGAAAATAAATAAATAAATAAATAAAATAATTTAAAAGAAAAAAGAAATAAACATTCTCAAGTCTAATAATAGAAAGTGTGACCCCTTTCAGGAAGGACAGATAATAGTAGGTAGTTAAAAAAAAGACTCTTTGCTCTCACTTAATAGTCAGTGTTCAGTGAGAAGAGAAAAACTCTTCCTCAGGTTTTTGCTGTCTGGGAATGAAGATACTCATAGGTATTGTAAGGTCCAATTTGGCTTAAGAAATAATTGTGTATGGTTTTAGTAGGAAAAAATTTTTGTAAATTGGCAATTCCTCTCCAGCCCCACCCAATTTCTCCTGAAGAAAACTGGAGTTTGCTGGCAGGTTCGTAGATCAGAGCCTGGAGATAGAGATAGTCTCAGAGCTAAGGGTAATATATATTTTTTATTCTTTAAGATAAATCTGAACCTCGAGAATAAGTGTTGTCTAGGGGCTTTATGCTAATCTTTTTTTTGAAAAAAATCTAGTGTTTCATTAGCCACTTTCCCAAATCTGCTGAGAACTTTGTATATGGAGAGTGAACTGTGGTTTGGATATCTACCCGTCACTCGGAGCTTAGTTTTAATAAATTCCAGATGTACTGTACAAATAAAAAGTTAAAAACCTCACAAGCATCTTCCTGTGCTGTGCTGTTACTCATTTGTAATGTGGTTCTCATGGCTGATGGCTGGTTTTCCTGCCCTCACCTGAAAGTCAGGAACTGAACCAAACAAGAAATTAGGGATTTTCAGGACCCTGTGGGCTGGCAAGGAGTTATGTCTGCCCCTCTTTCACAAGAAGCACAGCTACTACCTGTAATGTTCTCTCTGCTTTTGCCCATGTTCTCAGATTTCCAATTTTATCTCTACTCCCGTCACCTTTTCTGGTTCTCTTCACTTCTTACAGTAGCTAATGGACATAATCTCCGTTTGAATCACCTGGAAGTTAGCCCTAAGCACAGGCTCTCAAGCAGTCCTCAGAAACCTTTGCTCATTGTTAGGGGTATAAGTGGGGAGGGAGATATTGCCATCTTTTCTTTTGTTCAGTTTGGTTACACCCAGTGGTGCTCAGGGCTCTCTCCTAGTTCTGCCTTCAGGCTTACTCAAGGGACCATATGAGATCCCAGGGATCAAACCTGGGTCAGCCACATGATAGGCAAGTGCCCCACTGCTGTACCATCACTCCAACCTCTGTTGCCATCTTTAAAGCCAGACTAGGTCGTTATTGCTGTTTTTGATTTTTGCATTGTTTTGTTTTTGGTGTCCTCAAGTTCACAATTCAGTAGCCCAGTGAACCCATCCTGGGTTCTTACTCAAAACATATATTTTGCATTCATCCAGACCGACTGAATCAATTCTGTGAGAGTGAGGTCCATTAATCGAGTTTTAATAGTAGAACAATGTCAGCTAACACAGGCTGACATTTACTGCACAGCCTAGCACATCCTACCACCAAGCCTTGTTTGCTCTGCGTCCTCAATGAAGTCAAAGGAAGTTGGGTATCTAGTACTCCTCTAAAAGCAGTGACAATTCCTGTTTACAAAGGGTTTCAAGTACATTGGGTCATAATTTTATTTTATTCATCCAAGAACACTGAATATCCATCTACTCAACAAGATACTTTTAAAGATTTAACTAGAGATAATCTGGAGCTACTGTTTTCAATTTAGGAAATATTTCTGCAATATTGACAAATTTCTTGGAAGTCTAGCCCCTCCTAATTGCTTTTCAGTGTAATGCTGATGGGGAAAATAGTGAGTTTAATTATAATTAAATGTTCCACTGCTGATCCAGGTCAATCCTAACATTTTTATCAAAGTTTCTATTTTTAACTAATAATATTACAACGAGTCCTCTTTGGAGATTAAAGAAGAACAAGATATAATTTGTAATGAAGGTTAAATACCATCCCCAATCCACTTAGGGATCAATTTTTAGAACTTAACACAAACTTCACCTGATGTTATTTTCAGTTAATTTCACTGATAATATAGAGGTAGTATATCCCCTTTCTAATTGGACTGGAAATTTGCTCAAGAGAATTTTCAGGGACTTTGACATTTTTATTTTTATAATTTATTTTGATCCATCTATAGATCAGCTACTTTTTTTTTTAAAAAAAAATCTTTGACTTTGAATTAGTCATAAGATATTAGAGCAGTAAATGTATTTAGTGAGAACCTCTTATAAATTCACCCGGGGAGATTGCATTGTATTCTACCCTAAGGGAAATTTTGCAGTGTCTGGAGATGGTTTCTTATTGCTACAACTGGAGAAAGTTATTGGAATCCAGTGTTTAAAGGTATAAGTGCTGCTAAACATTAAACAGTACTAAAAGCAGAACCTTACACAAAAAGTAATTATCCAAATAAAACTTAAAACATTGAGAGAAGTCCTGCTTTAGGAAAAAAATCATACACCCAAGGCCTGGAACCAGAAAGTTCGGACTAGACTTCATGATTCTTTTTTTTGCTTTTTGTTTGTATTTTTCTGGACCACACCCAACAATGCTCAGGGCTACTCCTGGCTCTGCTCTCAAAATCACTCCTGGTGGTGCTTGAGTGACCACATGAGATGCTGGGGATTGTACCTGGGTTGGTGGCATGAGAGGCAAGTGCCTCACCTTTGATACTATCTCTCATCCTAGACATCATGATGCCTACACTTTATGCTGTTCTATCTGGCCTGTCCATTTCACCATCAAGAGAGTCTTATATAGTTTTATTCAATTCCATATCCTGCTTTTTACATAGAAATGTATCATAACATTCCCCAATAGTGCTTAATGCTTCATATTGATTTTTCAAAATGTGCTCAGAATGTTCCTTTCGGTGAATGAATATAGTGAATTCAGTATTTACCTCTTGCTGAATAGTTAGTTTCTCATGTTTCCTGTCAAGTATAAAATCAATAGATAGACACTTCCGTTAAATTTAAATTTGTACTGGAATTAAATAAAGCAGAGCTGGCTTCTGAATAGCCCATGGAACCAGATGAATATCTTACTCTCGTATCTGTACACATTCTGAAGAGGAAGTCAGTAGTAGATCTTGGATCATGTCTGATTGCAGTGACATGCTTCATGAACTCTTTAATGGATCTCAACCGTTTTGATACTTTGGCTTAGTGGTAGTGGAGATGATAGTGATGGCAACAATGGAGTTGATAGCCACCTCTAGTGTAGCAAATAGGTATTTAACTCCTATTTTTAGTTAAACCCTAAACTAGTCTCTTTAAAAGCAGACCTGGACATTCTGTCTTGATAAAATATACAAACAGTATATGCTGTGTGTACCTTAAATTTTCCTAATACTGGTAAGAAAATATTCAACTCAAAATAAAAGTTCAGGTGAAATGCTTTGGGGACCAATATTTATTCCATGGATACAGTAACTTCCTTGATGACTGAACAGTGTAGAAGAAACAATCAGGGAAGCTCCTGTTAAAGAAATTTAACTAACTTTATTGTGAGCACCCACTAGGCACTTATCAGATGTAATTTCATT